TGCTGAAGAGCGCCCAGAGGTGTTGATTCCAGGCTTAAACATTGTGTCAAGACGATTGACGAAGGTTGATGGTCCACCTGATAACGCGATCAGTGTGTTCATGTCATGATGCATATTAAAGGAATATTCCCAAGGGAGTGCTTCATAGTAAGCATCTCCCCAATAACACCCACCACATGAGAGTGGGTCCTGTTTGATAAATCCTAAAGCACTTCTAGGAACGAGAAACCCATGGAACCCTAGAGAAGTAGCATTCGGGTTCCAGTGGTTTACCCAGTTACGAGATCTCTTCAAATACTTCGTTGCGTCGTCATTCATTCCTAACCCAGTCGCTACTTGATAAAGAGAAAAGTCGTTAAAAGAATACTCGACCGCTCGAGACACAGATCGGCCATATTTTGGTGTAATATATCCATACTGTAACCAATCGGGAAGGGCTCCACGGCCTTCTTTCGTCGAAGACGAATTATCTCGAGGATCGTTATTATTAGCTGGGGTAACCTCAGCATTTTTTACCATAGCTGAGTATCCAGTCGTCCAATTCACCGCCCCTCTCACTCCCTTTATATAGGCATCAGCTAGCACATTATCAGAATTCGACCCCCCTTGTATTGCGCCATTGAAATTTGAGGACCTCGCGTCTGGCATATAACCCTCAAATCGAAATATGTCAATCAGTGATCGGATATACTCCTCATATGCTACTGGCTGGAGTATATGAAATAACGAAAAAGTACACCTAAATAGGTCCCAAGTCGTGAAGGTATCATCATAGTATGGCTCTGATGAAGTCCAGAGTGGGTTTTCCCCGGTTCGGTTGGATGGTAGTAAGTGCATGAAATATAGGGAGCTATACAATAACTGCAAATTCGTTTTATTGGTCTCAGTAGTCGTAACTTTGGATAAAACCTCGGTATTCCAGACACTTTTCGCATCGTTAGTCAAGGTGGAGAGCGTTGCACCAGAAGGTATTTGTGAGTTGACGTTTCCACAAGCCTGGGCTGATGATATAAAAGATATTCCTACTCTAGAGACTACCGTTGTAGTGTTGAAACTGAATATGGCTCCTAGTCGAGTTTTGGAAGAAGCAGATTTTTCTGTACCATAACTTGCAACTGCGCTTCCATTGAGGCTTGTTCCGATAAATGTCTCCGACGTCGCTGGACTTTCGAAATATCCACAAAAGTATATTCTCCAGTCCGGTGCCATATTCCATCCGTTGTTGTAATCACCAAATCCTTCATAATGTCCATCCTCTAGCACGGTAATATTCCCGCCAAGGTAATTCTGGGAAAGGCCCTGTTTTCGGTATGATGGTAATACATGAGACACATCAACAACTACGTTTGGGGTGCCTTTACCCTCTGGGAATGTGTACTGATAAAAGCCCGCACGACTTGTTGCCGACAATTCGACAGTGATGTTGCTTCCCAGCGAAGCTTTGTAGTATCCTACCGACGTGATATCGGGAGAGACTCGAGTATCATTCAGGTTGACCAGTGGGTTGGTTATATTCCCAAGTATTGGCATCTGTGAGACGACACCATATTTCGGTGATCCTCCAGTTCCACTTTCGTGCATCATGGAAAATCCGGTAAAGTTGCCATTTAATGCAGCTCCAGAATAACTATCACTTCCCGTAAACATGTCAGGCCCGAGCTTGACCATACCAAAAGGTAAGGAAACTCCAGGGAAAGTATTGCCTCCACTGGCCTCGCCATTCTATAAAGTATATTAGGTAAAATCTGGTGTAGGGTATCGTACAAACTTACTGATGTGAGAACATATTGTGAATAATCTACAGTAGACTGAGCTACCGCTCCACTTATGAGCCCGAGTAGGGCAGTGTAAAGATACATTAGAAACGTGTCAAAAAGTTCGAAATGCGTTAGAAGTCGGCTTCAATCTCATATTCATGGAGTTTTGAACAATCATATATGATCATGCATATTAACAGTGGTGATTCCAAAGATGCACACGCATTCTCTGCTTCCCTTAGGGAGTGGTGCCAAAAGCAATGGGCGTCTGTTGTGTAGGAGCAAGTATTTACGTGAATGACTGGACAATTTTATAATAGAGCTATGAATCATAAAGAAATGTGAAAGCAATGAGAGGGATCATAAAAATGACAGACTGATAAATACAAAAAAGTGATCTTTACTGAACCACTCAAGTCAAATCAAGTGCTAAGAAAAGTAAGGAATGATCGAGGTGTAGAGTACAGCAAGAACGAAACATGGCACTTGTGACTTCCTTTAAGAATGATCAGGAACTCCGTGCTGTATTTCACGATACCAGTCACTTGAGTTCTAGACATTAGATCGATCCACTTGGATCCCCCCCGAAGTCTGCGCTGGTCCTGTGCATCTGCGCCATAATGAGGGGTCAACACGAGTAAACATTACAGGCGTACGGAACCAATAGAACGCAGTAAACCCAAACGTTTCCTCAAACATGGCCCCCAAATCCATACATTATGAGGGTTTTTGGAGAATATGATTAGCCAAACAAAGTCTCTCACTCACACATTGTAAGGGACTTGTTTGAATTCGCTGGCGCAAAAGGGGTCCATAGCCAAATTAAGCTTCTCGCGCAGTAGCCTTATATCAGCCCCCCTAAGCCCCAGCCACACCGGACAATTTGAGTACCAATAGGATTCTGTACTGTATCATCGTGTTTCCATTTTTATCATTTTTATAGCTGTCGACCGATTCAAGGTAGATGGTAGTTAGTTATTTAACAGTTGGTTTCCATGTCACTGAATCTATTAAGATCTTGATCTTTCTTCAATCATGGAATTGCGCCTCCAACATTTGAGCTCCGTAACATACCACCTATCCCTTTCCATCTTATTATACAATTGTTGGTGGCTCATATAGTGAATATATACGAGAGATCACACCACCTAGGTATAGTCAGATGTTCGCTCTATCCTACTGCGTGATTACGATATCGGTACAACAGTTGAAAAATCATTTTCAGCATGATCTATTTGATTTGACCGGAAACTATCCAACAACAGCTGGACAAGGCACACGATGACTATTAATCACTACCTAGGTACCGAACATTGCAAAGAGTCTCTCGAGTCTCTTTTCAACAACAATTGAAACGCTATTGATCAAGATTGCCGACAGATACTGAGGTTTGCAAGATCGATTCTTCCGAAGAAGGGGAACTTACAAATGCTAAGCTTTAAGCTGATGTATTCAAGCTTTCGGCGACCACCATACGGAATCCTGAGTATAATAGATATTAGGCATGACTATAGTAAGCATGTACCGTTAGGATCTATGGCGTTCTAGAAGACAACTCCTACATGAGCAAGGGCTTTCAAACACGTCGCGTCCGTTATTGAGTTTTTCTTACTGTGCAGTATGGTGGCATATACGGACGGCATGGGAGTGAGATTTATAATCGAAGTGCTTACGATGTTATATACTTCTAAGCTCGGCGGAGCCGATATTCACATCCGGCTGCTCCTCTCAATGGAACATTACGGTACGGTATCCTTAGAAACAGATTGTTGGTTGGAGAATGAGAGGGAGAAAGTCGTGAATTTTGAAATCATCTCAACGATACATAATCCGTTTCGTAGCTTACCTCCCCTCCTTCATCAGAAATGAATTGTCCTCGTCTCCTCTCCTCTCTACACGCACACACACACACACACACACACACACACACACACACACCCACCACCGGCTGATAGATTTTTACTGACCTCATTCATGCTTTTCCAAGAGTTCCTTGGCCAACAATCAGAGATTAACCACCACCACGTGTGTCAGATACAAATCCCCCGCGTCGCTACCGTACCTCTACAAAGATAGGAAAAATCGCGAAAGATCTCATGGCAACATTCTGTCTCATTCTGAGTCGAACAAATGGGATCAATATACAATTATATAAATCCATGGTACACGGTACATGATACTCGATACACGATACTCGATGTATGGTACACAATCGCTCCCGTGTATTACTCAGAAACGCTACCTAGTAGTTTACGGCATACTACTACTCACATACCAAGATCCTTCTCATTCCTTCAAATCTTATATTTCCTCTTTGATGACAATGATGATATCAAGCGTTGGTAATGTATCGTTGTAAACACTGTTAGTATATACCACTACCTGATGACCATCAACATGATCATTCAACAATGAGCTACTATCAAACTTTGCGTCACTTACCTAGTAGATCCCAACAACTAGCTTTAGCTTTCAAAGTGATAAGGAACTAAAAATACATATCACATCGTGTGGAAATCTCATCACATCTACGTACCCAGTTGGTTACTCTCCCGGATCGTCCTAGATGTCAAAACGCACGGATTTCTTCATCACAGACAGAAACGTTCATTGAACCACCAGATCTTGCATGTTAAACCTAGAAACATACCTAGGTAGGTGCTAGGTACATATATTTTCGTAGATGGTGGATCTCTTTTAATAGCTTCAAATGATTTCTTGCATTAGTACAAACTTTGGTCCGTCCTGCAAGGTACAGAAAGAAGTATTACTTGAATTGTTTTCACAGCCATCTAAATTTTAATCCTTTCATTCCTTTCAAGTACACCCAAAGTGCATCAAAGTCCATCAAAGTCCATCAAAGTCCATCAAAGTATCCCAAAATGTGAGCAAATGTCAAGAGACCATTCCTGTCCGGGCAAATCCTCTCAATTAACTGGGTAAATTTGCCGCCCAATGGTCCATCTAGCGGTCTATCTCCCCTTCCAACCCCGCCCACCCCATCTCATCACAACCTATCACCATGCACCAACAGAAACAATTGTGCGTAACTGCAAGCAAGTGTGAGCATGCATCTGCACGCCATGGGGTAATCATGGCTAATCATGGGTAATGTGGGATAATCATGGGTCATCTACAACCATCTCAAGCCTTACAATGCAATATTTACCCGCTGCGAAGAAACTCAAATTTGGGGTGCCTTTTGCTTTCAATTTCGATTAGGCTTTTTCCGGCGTCTCGATCTTTGATTGTCTGGTACGACGTTCCCATTTATGCCTAGACGACCAATCATTAAGATAGAGAGTTATCACATTCTTCATATCTCATCTATACTTTCGCAATGATGCTCTCTTAGCTCTACACTTGGTTGTTTCCTGTTATTTTTTCCCTTTGGAAATATTCTCACTCTCGTTTTCTATCGTCTCTTGTCTTTTGTCCTTTGTTCTTTTTTACATTTAGTTCAAATCGTGTTCGGTATGAAGTCGTGGTCATGCAATCTTTGAGCAGGTTTCTCACTGATGCGCAAATGGCATGGTTAACTTCTTCTATCAATTGTTGTGCGGCGGGGGAAGGTGTGGAGAGCTGTGGTAAGCCAACAAATTACAATGCTAAAGTCAGAAAGTATGAGTTCTAACGAAACATCCAGAACCAGAGAAATCAATGCGAATAATAAATGGGCAACCTCAATTAATATCTCCCCCATTATCACAACCTCCAGAAAGGCCACCAACAGCATCCGCTTTTGAAAGACCAGAGACTAGAGGAAAGGATTGGGCGAGAACTCGATCGAGGACGTCAAGTCGTGGGAGCAGCTTTACTTTGAAAAGAAATTTATCATCTCGTGCGTCAAGTCGAATGGTGATTAGTGCGCCATATAACTTCCAACATCATACGGAAACGAGTTATGTGAGAGAGCCCGAACGAGTCGTACTTAGGAAAGAACCGAAATTGCGACCGTTGGAATTGAGTATATACTTACCAGGAAATCGATTATCGCCCTTGCCTGAATTTGGACCTCACTTCAACGAAGACACGAAAAATCGTCCTTTGGTTCACATGAGAAGTGAGTCGGCATTGGAATTTAGGGTACCTAGAAAACCAGTTCTATCGACAGTTATGGAAAGGAGATCAATGAACACTGAGGAGTTGTTGAATGCTTTGTCAAATGATTTACCTCACGAACGTCCTACACGATTGAGAGCAAATACGGAACCACTTGCATACGAGAGAGTCAAGTCTGCATTGCTAGAGAATGTGGAATTGGATAAAAAGCTAAAGCAACTTGATGACGCTATCGAGAGACGAAGTATTTATCTAGCCAGTCGACCAGTAAGTCGTGCAAGCCGAGCCGAGAGTCGACATGAAAGGCGTGAGAGTATATACTCGGAGTTCACAGGTAGGCCTCTGATTATATCATTATATTCTAATGCGACAATACTAACAAGCTCCAAGAACCCATGCCACCCATCACCGAGCTTCCACTCCACCATGTCGATCATCGCCCTCAAACCGCACCTTCTCGTCCTCGCCGCATGAAATCCCTAGACTCTTCTCTTCACGCACCCAAGCTCCTTAGAGAACGTCCATTACCTCCCCCTCTTCCATTAGTCCTCCAAACACCTCAAATTACGAATCGAAGAAAGTCTCTATCGCGGGTCTCCTCCTGGTTATTCCCATCCGGTTCCGAACAACAACACTCCCGTCACATGTCTCTGGATTCCGTTACCAACACTCCCAGACCCGTAACCTCTAGAGATGGCTTTTATCAGTGTATCGAAGTCAAGGAAATCCATAATCCACACAGTGTTAGTAGTGTGAGTAGTATCGAAAGTGAGATTGACGGCAATGAAGATTATGAAGCGACGAGTTGGAGTGATAGTCCAAGTCTAGTATATGGAGCTAGATACGCACGGGGAATGGGTTATGAAGTGAGAATTAGCGCGGATAGCAAGAGGTTGCAGGTAGCGCCACCAAGTAGAGATGGAGCGAGAACATTTGGTGGGAGTGAGAAGGGTGAGGAGGCTAGATGGAGTATGGCTTATGGATATGGAAGGGATAGTGTGGGAGTTGCAATCTAAGAGATGGAGAGATTTCTTGATTTGTATTTATATAAACATTAACAGGTTGGTTGGGAGGAAAGTAGATGGGAATTTGGAGGTCAGGTTGGTGGGTGGCTTGCATGGTTGGTACGGTCTCTTCGGTCTGGATGGTTCGCATGGTTTTCGAAGTTTTTTTTTTTCTTTTGTTCGCAGAGGGGAAAAAAGGTCAGGATACTTCCTTTATGATACCACCTATTGTATTTTCGGCGTTGTGATTTTAGATATACATAGTTTAGATATAATAATGAGGAAGTAGTGTATGTATGTATGTATGTATACATGATATCAATCCTAGCTAACATTACGTCTCAGAGAGATGCGCTGTTTGAGCAGAAGAGAGGAAGCTTTCCAGCTTTCCAAATTGATATTAAAAGTTGAGTTTCTCGTCTGAGAGTCAAGTGTAGTGTTAAGTTCTCACTTACAAGTATGCGTGCACCACAGGCCCCCCTCGCTTCCCGTACCATGTCCATGTCCCATCTCCAGCCCCTCGCTGAATCAATGGTAAATCTTACGACACCCTAATTTTCCCTGCATTCGCATTCATAATCAAAAATCGGACATCAAAAGAATTTTGCGAGATATAGATATCGAATTGCCAGTCTAATAATTGTGAGTATATAAATATATGAACATATGAATATATAGTATTTGTCTCGCCCGCACTGCAAAAAGCGGCACCTAATTACCTATCTAGTTAGTCACCTAGGTAGTTAGCATTATCCATCCGAGCCATTCATCCAACCATCTAGTCCCATCCCATCACACCAGCACACCAGCACAAAGAACCAACGAACGGACGAACGAACGAACGAACGAACGAAACAAGTGGAGAAGAAATACTTGGTCGCTTCGTAGCTATTCCCTCATATTTCCCAAAGCGCCAAAAAATTCTCTATCAAAAGAAGAAAACGCATATATATATATATATAAAAATAAAAAAAATACAGAAAGTTAAAAAAAAACTCAAAAACGTGATGAGAGTGGGATTCGAACCCACGCCTATTACTAGACCAGGAGATTGGTGACAATCTTTTGTTAAGCTTGACCTTAACCTGGCGCCTTAGACCAACTCGGCCATCTCACCTGTGTAATTTTTGATATGGTGACAGGAGATGCTTGTGTATATATTGGGAAGTGAAAATTCTCGATGGGGGGGGGTGGGTGTGGGCTTTGTGGGGATGTGTACGATGGTTGTAAGAGTAAGTATTATAAAACACACCAAAAAGCAGCCATACTTTTTCTCATATACAAAAACTTTAACCAATCAAAATATTATGCTTTTTGAAAATTAATATAACGAATTCTAATATATCAAAGTATTATAAAGAAATATCTAAATATATTAAATTATATTAAAATTTTGTATATATTTTATTTGCTATAATTACTATTTTGTAATGTTTTTTTATAATTCTAAGTAATTCTATTAAATAGTTTTCTAATATTATTTCTCAAACCTTTTTTATAATTTTTTTAAATATATTGTAATTTATTTTATTAATAGGATAATAATTTTATATCTATTTTTTTATTTAATTCCATATATTTTTAATAGAATTGAGATTAAAAGAAAAGAAAAATCAATTTATTTTTTTAATTTTTTTTTTCAAAAAAAACTTGAATAATAGTTTTTATAGAATGATTTAATATATTATTTTGTATAAATATATAATCCAGATTTAATTTTATTTAATTATATATAATAGGTATTGTATATATTTGATAAAATTCAGTATTAATAAAATCTCAATTCTTTTTCCAAAATATATTTGATTCTTTATCTGATTTGTCTAAAAAACAATTCTAAAATATCTATTTAGTTTTTCTATACTCTCTTTTTAATATATATATAAAATCAAAAACTTTATTCTTTTGATATATAATATATATTTTTTTATATAATTTTATAATTATTTATATTTTATTTGATTATAAAATAGTATTTTATTATTCTTTAATTCAATAAATATAATTTAATACAAATTGTAATCAGATTTATTAATTATTTTTTGATATAAAAGATTTTCAAAAAGCAATATAATATTTATATTTTGTTTTATATAAAATAAATTGAATAACAAACTTCTTTATTTCTTTTCAAAATAATACAAGAATAACTTTTTAATATAATATATACCTATTTGTTTTTGATTTGCTTATAAATTGAATAAATTAATTAATTTAATTAATAATCAAAATAAAGGATTAATCAGAATATTTCTGAGGAGTTATTTGTATTTTAATAATATAATAAATCTGTTTATATATCAGATTTACTTCTTCTTTAAAAAAAAGATTAAATCTTTTTAAATTTTATATTAATATAATATAAAATATATATTTCAATTTGTTGATTTTTAATTATTTCTTGATATTTAGGTATATAAAATAATAATAATATAATAGATAATAGTATAAATCTAATATTTGAGAATATTGATAATAAATTAAATAATAATAGATTAGCTTTTTTTATTTTGATTAATTCGAATATTATTCTTTTTTAGTATATTTATTATAAAAAAATATTAAAAACAATATTTCTTATAATAATTCCTAAAAATACTTTTTAAAATTAATTCAAAATAGGTTTTTAAAAGTAATATCAAAACAGATAGAATGAATCAATTGAATCTATGTATTTCGATATCCCAGCTAAATATAGGTTAATTAGCGTTTTACACAACTTATCCATATAACCACTGTAGATACTAGGTACTAGGGGGGCTTGGAGGTAACTGACTAATTGGCGGCTTGGAGGGGTGGAGGGGTGGATATAGAGAGAGCGAGAGATTTTGTGTGGGAATTTGAGGAAACGGGGGTTGGAGAGGAGTTAATGAGGATGGGGATTGGTTTTTGTGGTGTTTGGTTGAGGGTTGAGGAGGGAGAGGGGGGGTCTTCGATTGATATAATGAAATTATATATGCATATCCATCCTATCAGAATCTCTGTTTATTATTTAATCAACTACCTACTACCTACTACCTAGGTACTTTTACATTTCTCAACCTCTAGACCTTGAGTGAGATGATTAGGATTTATTTATTTATTTATTCATTAACTACATCACATATCACATATTACTCATTCCCACAGAAATAGAAATATAAATAAAAACAAATAAAATCCCCTCTTACAGAATATGATTTTGAAAATTCCCAGTGGGAAATCTCTCGTTTCGCTATTTTGGTCGGTTAGTTGATAGGCGGGGTTTGAGGGTGCGATCCGAGGATTTACTTCGAATAATAACTGGATAATTGAAATATAATCCATTCTCTCAAGTTATATTAAATAATATATGTTTATTATATGATGTATGTATGTATGTATATATATATATCTGTATGTAAAATCTCAAGTAGGATTTCAAGACTTCGACTCTGAGAATAGTTCTCCTACTCAAGGTGCTTCCCCCCTCCTCTCTCGACATGTAGATAGATATCTTTCATATCCATATTCAGAAAGTCACGCATACTTCTCTCTCATCCATAATATGATATATGGGAATACAGTATGCATATCATATACACACTGTATTGTACCTAATCCACTCAAAAATTCAGACCAAGTCGTCGTCTTGACTGATAATACTAGTTATGACGAAAAACGATAAATTCCTATTTCAGCTATACAACCTTCATTGTGCAATATATGAAGTATTTCTAAACAATCACTCAAGAATCTTCGCTACAAAGTTGCTTCCATTCTATCCCCTCACATTACACACACACACAAACATATACCCATATACATACAAAATCCCCAACCTCAACCCACTATCCCTCCTTTCAACCCCCCAATCTCCTTGTGTAACAAACAAAAACCTCCACATCATCTCCATCATAATATCCCAGAATCTCATTGTAAATCTATACAAGTTCATTTCAGCTCTCGTCTTGAAAAATATATTTAGGAGAAGCAAAATCTCCAATATCCATTTCCATCACAACTCTCATTTCCAACATTACAACTCACATCACCATCACCATAACCATCCCGTAATAAAATTCTCTATCGTTTATTGATCTGTCAACCTATCTCTCAATCCTCGAACGCACATCGCACATCGCACATCGCACATCGCACATCGCACATCGCACATCGCACATCGCACATCGCACATCGCACATCGAAAATCGCACAGTCCAACGAACATTCACGATTCGTAAATCTCTCAAAGCTATTCAAACATTGAGGATTAACAATCACCCATTATCATTTCTGAAAGGGTTGGCTGAGATGCGATAAAGTATGTTGGTTAGGTATCTTGAGCTTTTAGTCCATTTGTGCAAGCCATCTATCTAGGTATATACCCCGATGACAAGTATATAAACTACAGACGCATACAAGCCTCGCAAACCCCTCCTCTTCTTTTCCTCTCTTCTCACAGGATACATACACTATCACTTTACATCACACCACACCACACCAGACGATGCCCAATGATCTCACAAAAAGTAACAATAATCTATCTATGTATCTATCTATACCACATCTCAAGACTCAACCCTCAATCCACCCATCCCATCAAATACATCTCCCTCATTCTCCGAAGACACGCGCTACATACAGTACAATACAATACAGCCTTCGCCGAACCCCTCCCTTTTCACACATTGTGTAAAATCCTCTTTAAATATATTTCTAAAAAGTGTAGTAGTAACGAAGCTAACCTCCAACCCCCATAATTGATGTCATATCGTAAGCGTGCATTTTATTCCTCTGAAGATCACCCTGTACACAAACGCCCACCCAGAAAGAACATGAAGATATTAACAAAATTATAAAGAAAAGCATAAGAGGTGGGAATCTAGTGTCTGATCTTGAATCAGAAAAAATGAATGCACGCATGTAACATCATCCCAAACTCCATCCCTAAGGATCCAATGTATCATTGACCCCTTGTATCTAATTTTGACAATCCCATCGGTCCCCTCCAACCCGCCAATAACACCGAAATTTCAAGGTCCAAATCCCAGAAAAATTTCATTGTCATTACGCCTACTTCCTGAACAAATCTTTCAATTCTTCCAATCTCCTAATCGACGCTTCCTTTTTATCCAACCTTCCCTTCTGGGAATCCATACTTAAGCTCGCCAGCTTTTGTTTTTTATCTTGAATTTGCAACATTTTTTCCTCGAAACTCTTATTCATAATAAATCGGACTGTCTGTACCTCTCTTTTTTGACCCAATCGATGTACACGATCAATAGCTTGAGCTTCAGCTGCAGGGTTAAATTGAGGTTCCATGACATAGACCTTGTTAGCCGTGGTGAGGTTAAGACCGAGGCCACCGGCAGCGATGGAAACTAGAATAACAACGATTGATGGATCATCGCGAAATTTCTCCATGGCCATTGAGCGAGCGATACGAGTCATTTTACCATCGAGACGTGTGTAAGGAATGTCATTCTCCTGCAAAGCGAGTTGGATAAGGTCAAGGTGAGTTGTCCAACCAGAGAATACAACACTTTTGATTGGTGGCTCATTTGGATTTGCTTGTGATTCCCTTCTGGATGCCAGAAGATCATGGATTAAAGCTATTGTCTTAGTATGAGGTCCACCATAGTTTGATAAATCCTTGCCTGCTTTTGCCGATTCCTTGGTTTTCAATCGGGATTCTTCTTCCTTGTCTACTTCCTCTTGTTTGAGAGAAAAGAACATAGACGGAGAGATTTGTTGGTGACAAGTAGGACATCCGACTAAAGAGCCACCAAAAGCCATCTCTTCCAATTGAGTTTTGTAAGCACCAATGCACAAGCCACAAATGATGTGGAAACATGGTGTCATGTAACCAATAACTTCCTCCTTAGATTCGCCATCAGAATCGACAACATCCTGAGAGCCAATCTTCCGATTGCATGTCAAGCAACTATCTGTACCTGTATCCCTCATCAACTTATACATTTCATAAGCCTGTTTGGGTGTCATTCCATCTTGATCTTCGTATTCTTCACTATCAAGATCGATAGCGGAGTCCTTGCTCAGACCATTCATGATTTTCAAGTCCTCGGGACTTAACAAATCCTTGCCATGAGCGCAGACTTGACGAAGACGCAATATTGATTGCAAAATGTGATGAAAGGTTTTGCCTCCCAATGCACTTTCTCCCTGAGAAGTGATAACTTTAAGCCTATCTGTTGCATTCTTTTCAAAGATATCATAGACCATACGCTCTTCATCACTGAAATCTAGCCTAGCAATCTGATCATGACGCTTGGGAAGGTCAATTTTGTCTTTGAGTCGACGAAGAGTAATGCTGTCGACTAATAATCGAAGTTTGGGAATTATTTCAGGATCGCAAATCTTGAAAGGGGAGAGTATATGTTGGGCAAACCCACTTCCGTTGAATGGTTTGACGCGAAGGAAATTCATCAAAGCACCCAAGTCCTCAAGTCGATTCTGAACTGGTGTACCTGTGCATGCCCATCGACGCTGTGCTGAAAGCCTACAAATAGCCTTGAATTGCAAAGTTGATTGTTCCCGTATCATATGAGCTTCGTCGAGTACAATTCGAAACCAGTTCATCTCCTCGAGAGGATATTTACCGTCTTTCTTTTTGTTCCTGTTATTGCATTCGCTAGCGACAGAACCATATGTAGTAATGACCATATCATACTCTGACAATTTCGTAACATCCTTGATACGATTAGCGCCATGATAGATGTAATACTTCAAAGCATCGGGTTTGATATGTGCCTTGATCTGATCTTCCCAATTGGAAATGACACTGAGCGGAGCAACTAAAAGGGTAGTTTTGCAGTTCAAAGCGAGAGTTGCGGGTTCGAACTTGGGCTGAGCGGCAGCCTTGCCTGATTTCAGAACTGGCTGCTCTCTCTGCTCGGATTGTGATGGTCTTTGCTTCGCCCAATCTCTTGAATCGTCCAGTGTTGTAGCTACCAAGGAGAGAATGCTGAGAGTTTTGCCAAGTCCCATCATATCGGCAAGAATTCCACCAAGCACCTGTGGTGGACTTTTGCGTTCCTCATCACCGGTGATGACATTATAATATATCCTCTGCCCATTGTTCCCATGTCTAAGTTTCCACAAATCGCATTTGTCATTTATCTCATAATTTCGCTCCTTTTCCCTATTTATCATGAAGTAGAGACCCTGTTTCTGATGTTTGAGCAGCTCCGTAGTAATCAAAGAACTTGGCTCCATCTCTGGTAAATTCTCAGATCTCGGCAATGAGTCGAAAACTCCCAATACGTCATTTCGGATTTCTTCTGTTGTCCGAACGGGGGCCTGGGAACGAGATGCGTAAGATGAGTATGTACTAGACGTGGGCTGCAAGGCCCTTGAAGGCTTCTCTATAGCATGAGGATTGTGTAATGGAATTCCAGCTTCTACGGAAAGTGGGGTTCTTAACCACAATTGCTTGTGAGAAAGATGTCGGCCAATTTGAAGAGCGTGCTTTTTTGGTCCGTAAAGATTCAAATCCAAATTATAACGAACAGAGCATGGGGAACCCACTGGCTGATCATCGGGCGCCTTTCTTCTTGTAAGAATACGGGCAGCTGTTCTGACACCCATTTTTGGGGAGTCAAGAATAGGTGCGAGTCCAATTGCAGTATTCACATCGACGCAGCCAATAATTTCGCGAGTACAATCGAGAGCGTGGATATTATTCGTCTTATCTCCTTCCTTCCTCCTCAATACAATCTTTATCTGCGGCCAGTTCTCGGGTATGAGTGATTGGGCGCCAGGTTTTGGGGTTGGTACTCGATGAGCGTTGAGTTGAGATCCTTCAATACGTCCGTAGCAAACTTCCCTATCCTGCTCATTTCCGACAACTACAACATCGTCATCGTCCACCAGAGATAAGTCGAGTACTTGTTTGGTGCAACCATCCTTCGAGCCTTCAACCCTCCTATTTTTCACATATTGTCCGTATGCACCTCCACTAGAACTTCCATTAAATTGTGCTCTGCTTCCCTCCCCGGTCAAGTCTTCTACTCTTCGACGTTTTTGAGGTACCATGTCGCGATCTGTGATATTATGCATTCGATCCACAAAACTTCCCATGCCCGGCATCTGCCAATTTGGGTTCGCGTGTGATGCAAAGCGATCCTGGCCATTCGAGTTCGAGTTCACGTTATAATTCGGGTTCGAGGGAGGTGACGGCGTATACGATCCGCCGGGGGTGTCGAACTGAAATAGAGGCTGAGAAGCAGATGCTGCTTGTGAAATTCTTGGTCGGGGATGAGGTGATAAACTGGGCGAGGGTCGTGAATTTTGATTAATGCTTCGAGGATTTAGCAGCTGCGCGGGACTCCAATTTTGGGCATTTGTGGCATGACCGTTCGAAAGTGGTATACCGGGATTGTTCTCATTTTGATTCGGTCTTGATCTTGGAGGGTTTTGGCCTTGTGCGACAGAGAAATTGTAAGTAACAGGTTTATCAAAATCGGTAGGGTAATTTGGGTGTAGTTCTGAACTTCCAGATAGTTTGCCTTGGTGTGTATGTAGGGACTCTCCGTTTGCGAGGATTGGGAAATTACCAGAGAAGTTGTTATTCATTGAGGCCATAATTCTCCTTTATGGTAGACAACCTCGAGTATTTGTCACGGTCGCATGCATTAAGTTGTGTGTCGTATGTACTGTGTGTGTGTATGATTATGATGTGGTTGTAATGGTAGGTAGTTGTATTAATCGAGCCGATAAATTCACAGGAGGGGCAATATTTATCACTAGGGAGGATTGTGCAAAAGTAAGTAGGAAAAAGAAAAAGTCGATGAAACTAAAATCATCGGAATGTGATCATTCTGTTTGATCTTCGTATATTCACTGAGTTTTTTTGAGTTTCGTGAATCTTTGTAGAATTTCTTATGTGTGAATGAGTGATGAATTTATTATACAGGTAAAAGTACGAAGGAGAGTAGGTAGAGCAGATGTATGGATATGTACGGAGTAGGGATGTGGGAGAGAGAGGAGGAACAGCGATAGATGTGATAGAAAATTTCCGCGAGTCTGGAGGTACAAAGCAATTAGTAAGCAACGATACATCATTTTTACTAGCTAATAAGGTTTTCAAGTTATTCACCTAGATAGCTCGAGGATAGGTACCTAGCATGTAGGTATCTATTACAAAGACAGATGCCTAGGTAGTTAAGCAATTTTCAATCACATAAGAGTTTACTATACAATAAAGCAGGTTCGAGATGTTTCGGCCGCTACTTAGGTATGTTCGAAGCTTCATCTAGGTAGTCTCAGCGCACTAATGACATTGTTCACGTGCTTCAACATCCTAGAACATCGCCATCTCCCATTCCTGTGCCCTCGGCCATTCATATTCCCATACTTAAATCGCCATCACATCATAATCAAAAGAAGACTAAATATGACTGTAATCGAGTCATCTAACTAAATGATCACTTCTCACGTCTTCGGTAAGTCACATGACTTATATACCTCCGATAACTCGGTCGCGTCGGTCGCCTAGTTACCAGTTAGTAAAAGCGAGTGTCCCTTTGCTTACCTAGGACTGTATCGCCTTCGAAAGCATATTATTAGAAGTTACTAGGTATACTAATAGATTTGTCACTCTCATCGAGCTACTTACAAGGACATAAAAATTATTAGCTCAGCTCCGAACTCCTCATGGACTTTAACATGTTACGGAATAGTCGCTTACGACACTCGCTTTCACTAACTGGGCACCAGTCGGCGTTAATAAAAGCCGACTAGGACGTGAAGGTTTCGATGAGACAAAACACGAGATGATCTAGAGCCTTAGAAGTTAGGAATACTGTTGGTAATGAGAAGGTCGGATCTTAATACTAGTGGCGTATAGCGTTTGTAACCTCAGAACCTCAATAAAATCTTTCTGAAAATTCATTGCCAAATTCTCTTTCAAATCGTGATGAGCTGAATTCGATACCTGTTCTTTCTTCTGGAGTCAAATTCAAAAAACAATCACCCTTTATAAATTTACTTAGCTCCGTACTTGAAGAGCAAGATATGAGCAGCTTGAAGGTCGCTCGCATATCGGTCGCCTCTCGAAGCTCTAAACAAGAATCCACCACCAATTCCATATCTTTGAAATGTGGGCCACGAGGATCACAGTAAAAATCGATGCCTTCAATGATACAGAAAAAGGTTACTTCTCTGCCCAAATGTTGCACTAGAGTCTTGAAAAGCCATCGAAGCGCATCAAGATTGTTTGCCCTAATCTGCTCGATGTCATCAAGACTTAGGAATTTCAAATCGAACTGGCTCTGTGAAAGTAATTGCGCGAGAAAGCTCTTGATCATTGAAATGCCTCCGGAGTAGGGGTCGTATGATCGTGTATGAGATCCGCAGAAGAAAAAGACGGTACGGAAGTGGTCCATATTGATCAGATTCTTGATTAACAGGGAGCAGAAAAAAGTGAGAGGAGATGTTGGCTCGGACGATCCATTCCCATGGATAAGAAGCTCTCTAGACACTGGGTTGACCAGCCATTGTCTAAACTGTGAAGATTGTGTGATAAGTTCGGGCAGCTCCTGGCCTGCTAGTTCAAACCGCTGCTTAGATCTGATGGCGTGCGCTAGATCTTGGTTGGTTTGTTCAATATAGCTTTCTGACACGCCACTCATCGGTGGTATATCGATCAGCCTTTGCAAGTCACCCTGGGAAATATGGGGCTCTTGGGGCAATGGCAGCCCTTGTTGAGGAGGTGGTGTGATGGCACGAAAGAAATTGTTCTCTACTCGGAGATACATGTTTTCGTCTAGAATAGGTCAGCTTTCTTCAAGTAGATACTAATACCACAACAAGGTCGCTTACATCTCAAAGCTTCTTCCTGGGCATACCTTCGTTGGAGATTATATTCGAAGTCTAGGAACATTTCCTTCAGTATTGTAGGTAGTTCGGAGACTTCATCGTGAACTTGAATGTTTCATGTCAGAACGGAAAGTTAAGTTTGATCTATAAAGTTTTGTTAGAGGGGCCGTACCTTGTTGGATACCAATGTTTGCATCAATCACGCCAGTGTGTGTCTCGTGATTTTCCTTGAAATTGGCCTTTTCGGCTTCACGATGAAGATGCTCTCCATGCGTGGTAATATCTTTGAGACTCAGTGTGATTGACTTTTTGTAATCTTCGCCATTCCAAAGTGCCTCCGATGCTTTAAATGCTGTATAATTTGTCACATTAGTCACTGATTCACAATGATTGAGAGGAGACGAGGACAGAGAATTTAGTCACTCTACCTGTGTGTTGGAGATAGTAACCAACCACCTCTTCAATTGCTTTCAAGATAGCAACTCCTAAGGATATAGCTGCCCTCGATACTTCCGGGAATCCATAGTATATCGAAAAATAAGTCTCAATACCCTCAAAAGAGTCTCGGAAGCTATCCAATGATTTCAAGAGCTCTTCTCGAACAGTGTTGGACGCTTTCATAGCCTAAAAGGACCACTATGAATGTCTTTCCAAATAAAGTGATGGGAGTGGAACTCACATCAAATATCACGTTCAATACAATGATCACGGGCGATGTATAAGTATTGCTTCGGATTAAAGGGACAAGTTTCTTGACTTTGGTAGAGTGCGCATTTAGTTTCCCCGCGAATTTCTTTACTTTTCCTGCGGCTCCGGGTTGAGCATCACCTCTGGCATCTTGAGCTACAATGAGTATTCGCAGTACTCCATCCCAATCCATTTGGCTTCGGTTGGTGTATTTTATGTAGCATCTCCCCTTGGGTTCTTTGTCGTATTCATTTTTGAAACTCTTCATCATTTCTGGAAACAAGTCTTGCTGCAACATACTACGCTGAGGGTCTATTTTCCCAACGTTTTTTGATTGATTGCTTGCCATGAGCACTGGAAGGCCAAGATTACCGGGTGTTGACATGGATTGGATATAGACTTTATCGACATAGAATTTGCCGCTTACTGGATCGAAATGAGAAGAGGGATTCTTAAAAGCTGGATGGTACTGAGATAATCGATCATCAATGAAATCGACTGAAAGAGGCTGCAGTCGCAATGAAGGAACTCTGTTTTTGTTGTTAGCCATCGCGTGTTAACTATTAATCATCTTCATGGATAAGATATCCTGCTGAAGAAATTGCAATAATTAATTGAAATCGAGCAGGGCATAAGCAATTTCAGCTAGCTACAGAATAGTGTTTGCATGTGAGATGTGTGTTGGGGAATCAGCTTACAATAAGCAGTCAGCACCAATTAAAACAACCAGATTGCTGGAATTGTTACGCAAGGCGACAAATGGTACCAAGTTTTCGCCAGGCAAGGGTATCTCCACCGGGTAAATATGCCATACTTCTGGTTTGGGTGCTCTGCATTATACATTTCAGTATTCTTATGCCATGAAACATTGTGCATACCAATCCAATAATTGCCTCGTGCAATACTACCATATGATACTTCAATTCCTAGCTTTAAACCAATTGAAATAATCACTTTGCGCCGGAATAAAGTTGAATTCTTGTAAAGGTTGCAGACATGGACATGTAGATACTGCTTGTTTCAACAGGCTAAATATCACGTAAGTTTAGTATTTGGTCCGGGAGTCTTACTCTCAATCATTGAAGGCTACTTATAAAATACATTGAGTTGAGAAGTTCCAAACACTCTGATTAACCAACCCATTCTCGAATATTGAGTGAACGGTTCTGTTACTCAATCCTCGCTCTGCACAACTACCGTTGTACCTCGATCAATTGTTTTCCCAATTATTGAGATTCAAAGCAAAAATGTCTAGTACTCGTGGTGAAGCGGATGAGCCACAGGATAACAAGAAGTCCTCTGGATCAGATGGAAGTACCGATGATGAAAAGACCTCAAAGTCTGGAGAAGATAGGGATCGAGGTGAGAAATCCGAAGCAGCTCAAAATCTCCAGAAAGCCTCTGAAAGTGCTCAGGACAACGAGGCCACAACCTCTGCTGGTGTTGAGCAAAATACTGCCACTAAAGTGACGGAGAACCAGACAGAAGAAGCTGCGGGGATAGAGGAAAATGGAAATCCGAGTGAGTAGATTATCCTTAAATATTTCAAAAAGCCAACAATAATAACACGAACACCTTGTAGGAAGCAATGGCTATCAGAATGGTTATCCAAAGACAGCAGATGATGAGATCCGTGATTTGAAGCGCAGAATCTTAAATTTAGAGACAAAATTCATTGCAACCTCAAGAGCGATTGTTCGGTCAAACCCTGATCATGATGAAGGGTCGGATAGTGCAGATGAGGAAAGCAAAATGAGTGAAAATGGGGTTGAAGTGAAAAACTATACAAACCCGTATTCATCTCCTCGGAGTCGATCGGGTTATTCCCACAATTCTTGAGAACAAAAGAAGACAAAATATTACAGACCTCCGTTCGAGAGAGAGCGTGAAAGTTATCGGGTGCGTCGCAGAAGTCTTGATTTTTTGCGTGATGATTACGGAGAGAATTTACAGAGAACTGTCTATATTGTTCCAAAACTCAATCTAGTTGAATGGGAGAACTTCAAATCGAGTTCCTCACAACTTAACGAAATCTACGCTATTGACGTTTTGGTTGGCGAACCTGATATTACTTTCGAAGGCGATGATTATTATAAAATCTGGGACAGAAGATATGCAAATAGAGGTGTTTCTCCGCGAAAAATTGGTTACATCGACCAAAGAACGACTTCCCAGCCAAGTGCAAAACCCCCAGTGGCAGGCCAGGCAGCCCTACCCGAGCGCATTCGGATCAACTCGAAAAATGTCATCAGGATCTTAAGCAAGATACATGGAAGAGATTTCTCAGATGGAAGAACTAATCCAGTCTTGCTATTCAGACCCTTCAAGGCCTTGATATTCTACGAGGAAGAAATCCGGACTCGATACACAGCACTAAACGCAAAATTCGGCAAGAAAACGGCAATTTTTGGCGATCCAGAATCCAAAGATCTCTCTACTGCTGTAGAGTCTGATGGTCAGCCACCATCTACGATTATTAAAGGATGCTCAAACGAATCTGCAAAAAAGACGGAGGCTGAATCAACATCAAATCATTCCCCCGAAGCAGACAGCCTAGATCTTAATTCTGAAGCTGCATTTAACGAACTGAGTTGCTTGATTGGGTTCATTGATCATTATATCAAAGATAAACAAAGGTATCTAGCACGTAGCTCTTGTCAAAAGGTTGCTTTTAGTGATATTTGGCATCTATTCAAGCCAGGAAATGAAGTTATGGAGGGGAAACTTCCACAAGCTTACCAAGTTATCAGCGTTCATACCAAGAAGCATAAACTCAAGAGATCACAATGGCATAGCGACTTCAAACGAACTATCAATTATGGCCCTGTCACAATCGATTGTGTTTGCATAGATTGCGACGGCAAACGCGTCGGTCCAGTTTCGAAGCGTTTCACGATCCAACAGTATGAAGGAGAGCATGATGTCACCTCACTGCCAGTGTATCCACTCCGTTTCGCGAGGGAGATGAATCGTGAAGGGCTGGTCGCTAGAGGCCAGCTCTTTCTTGAGACAGTTGTTATGAAACATATGCACTGTTCTGGACTTACTCTTGACACACGAGACGAAGTTGATAGCCAAGTAATGATTGATTCCGAAGAAGCCCTGCTCCAGCACGAATACTGGACACCCTTCATTGAAAACATGGCAGACTCTTGTCCGAAATCAGAAACCAAAGAAGATGATGGTATATGTTACCCAGCTTGTTGTGGTAATGAGAAATGCCACGATGATTCCTATGCTGAGCGTAACCGCAAAGGAGAATCCATTGAAAGCCAGCATTTCGCTGCCAGTTGGGGGCATTCATCTTTGACAATTGTCCCACGAAGCCTACAAGAAGTTCAAGGCAGCAATTTGCCGAGTCAAGACGAGTTATTAATCATGTCATACCGTGTGTTTGGCTTTATTTTGCGTAGTCGAAAATGGGGTATGCTTTCTGTCTCTATCTCTGTTCTGCCAAAAAAATTATCAGCATAGAAACAGACTGATTAATGTGCAGCAAAGTTGAATCTTAGAGATATTACCGAGGCGAGGCGAGTTGATGATGAGAATGGCTTTGACCAATTGGTATTACCCAAGGGCCATAAGGATATGGTGAAGTGTCTAATCAGACAGCATTTCAGAGAGAAGGAGTCGAAGTTGGAAGATAAAGATGAAATGGATATAGTGCGTGGGAAAGGTATGAGCTCTGAGTCATGTATGAAGTGTGTTGTATCTAACGCAATGCTGTTAAGGTAAAGGATTGATCATGCTCTTGCACGGAGCACCTGGGGTGGGCAAAACTTCCACAGCAGGTACATTAATCTTTGCTTTACCTGTAGTCGAATAGAGAGGTCATACTAATAACCCTAACCCTAAGAATGCGTAGCAGATTCTTTTCGGAAACCTCTATTCCAAATCACTTGCGGTTCGTATCGACAATCAAAATAATAGCTCAAGAAAATAACTCTAACAACTCTATAGGAGATCTTGGATCAGTAGCCGCTGAAGTCGAAGCAGCACTTGAAACTAATTTCTCACTTGCAAACAGATGGGGCTGTATTCTGCTGATTGACGAAGCTGATATCTTCTTAGCAGAGAGGACCAGGCATGACTTTCTGCGCAATGCTCTTGTAGCAGGTATGTTGTAAGGTGAAGCAAATACCCTTTAAACGCTAAAAAATGACTAGTTTTTCTGCGTGTTTTGGATTACTACGCAGGCATACTTTTTCTTACCACAAATCGGGTTGGCGCTTTCGATGAGGCCTTCACGTCCAGAATTCACGTCAGTCTGTATTATCCACAACTTAATTGGAATTCCACCCTAGAAATATTTAAAATGAATATGCAACGGGTGAAAGATAGATTTGTGAAGAGAAACAGAAATTTAAAGATCGATGAAGCGGATATTGGTGCTTTTGCAAGGAGTTATTTTGATGAATATAGGGAAGGGAGATGGAACGGACGTCAAATCCGGAATGCTTTCCAAACGGCACTCGCTCTTGCCGAATACGATGCTCAAGGAGATGATGATTCCACAAGTCTCACTGACAACATCAACAAACAAGTGATTTTAAAAGGGAGGCATTTCGAAACAGTTTCCGAAGCGTACCTTGGGTTTGTTAATTACATGAAAGAAGTAAATCATGGGGTGAGTATGAGTAAGAGAGCTCTTGATGGGAGGTATCGAGACGATGAATTTGGAGAGCTCAAGAGTCCAAGTTGGAGTGGTCTTGAGTTACGAAGAGGAGGTGTTCCGCCGATACCATCGGTAACATCAGATCCTCGCCATCCATCCGATCAAAATTTTCGGGACGATCGCCGTCAACAGTTTGCTAGAACAATGCCGTCAGGCGCACCGGTTAGCAACCATGAACAGTCATATCAGGGTAACCATTACCAAGATCCAGGTTTGAACCCGAATTATCCGAACAGTGGGGATAGGCGACAACCTCAGCCAATGGAGCTAAACCATGGCAACGACTTCCTGCAAAACGCTTATAGTTCCCGAGAAACCCCCAACAACAGGGGAGACTTAGGCCGGAACTATAACACCTCGAGTGAGCGCGAGATGAGGACAGCTCAACATCCCAGTCAACCTCATCAAGGCTCGCAAGCCTGGCCTACGTCGGACAGAATGGAGAGAAATGATAGTTTCAACTATGCAAGCTATCCTTCGGGCCCAAACGCGTTTGGGACGGAGAGAAGAGGGTTCCTTCCCGAGGATAGATATGACAACCAGTAGAGTCCGCCTAGTAGGGGATAGATGAATAGAGAACTAACGCTGGAGGACTTTCAAAAAGCAACCAGTCAAGGTTAAGACGATTAGATGATATGAAATTGCCACTACACACTACGGCTAGCCTAGTTTATAAATCTACGGAAATACAGTTTGATTCTCTTTTTCTCTCTCGAGAATTTCAAAACAAAAAGACCTCTGAAGTAGAACAATATATAAAAGGTTCACAACACATGATAACCCTCAATAACCAAATGATGATATGCTATTCAAAAGACATTCGAAAGCATTAGCTAGCTTGTATATATATCGTTATCGAATGTAGCATTAGAAGTTATAACACCATTTCACCTCTTCACTTTACACCAAACTAACAGCGAGTTGATGATAGTTCATGGAGCACCTACCAACTACCTCCTACATACCATCAAAACCCATAATATCGCCAAAAACTTATCAATAACCCACCCTCATTACTTCTTTTTCCTTCCCTTCTCACTCACTCACACACACACGCACCATCACTACCCGAACAAACATCCCTTAGTACCTACCTACCTACCCCTAAAACCAGCCATTCCAACACCCACAACCTCACAACCCATAAATCCAGAGAAAGTCAAAGAACAGGATATTTACAATCAATCTAATAAGACTTTCCTGCAACATTTTACATACTTCGGCAGTCATAATTTGCCGAAAAGGGGGAGGGAAAAAGAATAACATAAAAATATTAATGCTTCAAATATATTTCATTTATTGTAAGCGAACGGCATACCAACTAATTTCATAAAAATCATGCTACCCCATTGTCCCATATGATTACTGCCCCGAAGAGATCTATCTCCAGACTATTTTGACGCCCATTTGCAAAAAAAATCATGCGCCGCCTTCCGAGAGATAATATACATATTCGTACTCATTTATTCCTTTGCGGATCATCATTCCTTTTCCCCATTAACACCACGTAAAGACGGGGTTTTTGCTTTTGACTGTTTCAAGTCTTTCTACTATAACCTTCCTCTGATTGCCCTCCATCCCTTCAGCCGCTGCGTATCCCAAGTCCCCTTCAAGATCATCGCCATCATACAATGTCTGAACAGCCCCACGACTCCTCGAACTAAATGAGAATCTTCTCGATTCAAAATGGTTGCCGTTTGGTGACCTTGCAGGCCCATCATAACTCATACGATTTCTAGAATGTTGAAGGTGTGGTCGATCCGAGAACCTCACTCCATCCTTAGAAGTATTCTCTCGAGAGAATCCTGTATTTGCAAATGTAGGCTCAGAAGACTCGAGGTCAGGGGAAGGCTCTTCACTATATCGTGGACTAGCTAATTCGAATCGGTTCGGGTTTGGTAATTCTGTAGAGGGACTTGCAAGTCCCAGAAGATCTGGTTGCGGCGCTGGCGCATTGGCGGCACTAATATCCATTTCTTCATCAAGGCTATTGCGAGCCTCATTACGTCTTCGCATTTCTGCAGAAGGCACTCTCATAGGAACCGCAACAGGTATATCAACAAGATCATCCCAAACACAAACTCTTGGTCTTCGAGTCAACTCTAAAGGACCGTGGTCTACTGTTTTGAGGGTCTCAACGACATTCCAAGCTTGTCCTTTCATGACAGCAATTTGTCTGGCGAACATACGTTCTTGAAAATCCGCATCTTGGCTGAATACCTTTCTCAACTCTAGCTGAGTCTCACTCCACCATTGCTTTGAAGTGAGCAAGGGAAGAAAGTGTTCCCGAGTTTTTTGAGAGAATGGTTGTCCAATCAGTGATACAGGTAAAAACAACCATCCAAAGGGGAAACTTCGCCAAGCATCAGGATGCTTCCAAGGCCATGATAAACTATTATCAATCGCACCAATAGATATGGTTGGTGCTGCCATTCTAGATGGTGTAGCCGATCTACTTGTAGCTTCCATAGGCTCTTGACTACGGTAGGGGTATGCCGGTAGATGAGACATATTGATGTTATCAGAGCTAGGAACTACTCGTGGTGCGTGGTCTGAGTCTGGATTGGTCCTCATTTGAGGAGGGTCTGAAACGATGGAAACGCCCTGATTTTCCCAGTCGATTTTGATCATCCAATTATCAAGACCTCTATCCGTATTTCGCATTATATAATCCAATATAACCAGTTTCTCCAACTCCTCTCGAAATGATTGTTGTAATGCATCTGTCCAAGCGAAACGTCGATTTTGATTACCATCTCCGGATCCGGTAGGACTGCTAGCCCCCGCCCCTTCATTACCCTCGTCTGACTTTGATGAACCTGGACGGCAAGTCTCTTTCCATCCTCTTTTGTTTCTGTGAGTATCGTTCAATCTAAATGCTCCATTTGCATGATCTGGCCAAGGGTGTTCACGGAGGAAGATATTCGCGTCCTTGAACCCTTTGAGGAAGACTTGGAAACTGCCAACCTTTGGAGGTAGAGGCTTTTTACTCCTGTAAAACTTCCTTCGATCCCAAAAATCATAATGAAAAGATTTCGAAGATAAGTGAACTATGTCGGTGTAGGGCACAAGGTGGGTTCGTAACCTACAGTCAAGCGTGTATGCTGCAGCTTCGGAAACATAACTCAAATTGGGAATTAGACATGCCCTGCCAAAGAAGCATGGAAATAAATTGCGATGGATCCATTTGTTCCATTTCGGATTTCCTGCGGCGTACGGTTCCTCATCCTTCGGTTTGAACACACCGACTACTTTTCCATCACTATTTCGAGCAAAGTAACTTCCAGAACTACCCTGAGATATCATTTTCGGATGCATACCCTGTTCAATCGCAACTCGAACACTTTCAACAACCTCCTCAAATTCCGATTTCGTCATTCGTCCATGATCGGGCTCCGATGCCAAAGTATCAGCAGTAACGGGTCGCATGCCTTCCGGTGCTTGAAAAACTGAGTGCTGGATTTCCAATTTTTCCTCCTGATGTGATTTCCCTTTGACTTTATTGATTTTAAACTTGGATGCTATCTCGTCGGCCCATCGTTCCAATCTAGCATTTATAGCTTTGATGTCCACACCGGAGGCATTGCTTCCCATACGACTTCGCCTTCTCGTATGTCCGGACTTTCGATTATTTGTCGGTGAACTGTATCCATCTGTATACATTCCACCATGCGGTCGAGGTTGTGAAATGGAGGCATATCGTGGTGCGGTTGCTGGTTGTAAGGAAGCATGGCTGGCAGCGAGGGGGTCCTCATCTTCGTCGTCGCTGAACTCTTCGGCTTGGGCAATTTGGGCATAACCCGTGGTAGCTGGTCGAAATCTTGGCATATTAAGTATGATATTTGATTAGTATTGAAGTCGCCATGAAGTAGAATTATTTATGGTTATGAGGCATTTCCAGGAGCGGTGGAACGAAGCATGTTACAAGCTCTAGATTCACAACATGCCAGGTAGTCACCGTGGTCCCGGGTCGCGTCACTTATCAATGTCCTTATCCAATCAAAAGGGTGGAGTACACAAGGCTGAAAGATTTATCCCCAAAGATATCAAATCATGAAGAAACACGATGATTGATAAACTTGTGTCAATTGATGTTCAGTACACTAATGGGTATACTTTTCTGGATATTCGATATCAGATGGAGTCAATTAGATTGAACACCATAACATCTGTCCAGATATTGTAACGATGATTGAGTTGAATTGATTTCTATGATATTGGGGCTTTGCGAATTTTATATCTTCTCGTACAATTGATACATTGGCCAAAGCCCTTACGATGCTGCCATAATCTCCTTTACTATCTTTGCGACCTCCCCCTTTTCTACATTCTTTTCTCCCAATACTTCAGGAGCAAATACTCTCTTTAACACATCTCCCATTTGCATCTTTGCTCCCTCAGCCTTCATGCCATTGACAAGATCCTTGACTGTGTTTCTGATCTCTTCCTCACCAACTGTCTCAACACCACTAGCATATTCTTCCAAGACCTTCAATTGTTGTTCTTCCTTCTCTACGAGATCTTCTCTACCTGCTGCCTTGAATTCTTCACTTGCAGCTCGGCTGGCATTCGCAGTTTTTCGGAGAAGAGCTAACATTTGCATATCGGTATTGATGGGCGAGGAAGTTTTAGAAGCATTGAGTGTTTGACTGAGGAGTGATCGAAGGACTGAGAGTCGATTGCTATCTTTGTTTTTCATAGCAGTCTTCATATCATTCCTATCGCCAGACTAATATCAGTACAATTGTCCCTCAAAACAAGAATACCGAACGACATGCTGTGTGTACTGACCTGATCTTCAAGAGCATAGGCGGAGGGGTACCGGCAGAGCTTGCATAGCAGCGGCAGTAAATCCTCGAAGCTCTAACGGCTGGTCGTGAAAACATTGTTGATATGGGTGAGGGGATTTTGAGAATTCAAAAATCTGGTATTGAGAGCTTGCAAAAAGTGATTCCCGTCTGAAAATTGAAGGTATTTTGTCTTTTTGATTCAAGTCCATTCGCTGTCTGCGAAGAAAACGAGGCTCGCCAAATTTATTTTCCCCGATGCTGCGCTGCCTCATACATCACATAACACAACATGTGAATGAGCGGACACCTACGTCAATTGTATAGCACAACAGATATTTGTTACTTTGATACAAATATGTTAGGATTATACTTGTTTATCCAATATGTCACCATGGATGTCAATATATATTGAGTGCCCACGTTTTCGTGCGGATTATATCAGCGCAAATATAAAGCCATGAAACAAAACAAGTTCTTTGATTCGTTAAAGTCCCCTTTTAGGTGATCGTCAACTTCCCCGCATCTATTCATCACCTATGAAGAGGGAAGGTTGATCAGTTATCATATTATTGTTGTATATCTATTCGTAACTATCATGGTATTGTTTTCAAAAAGAACAAGAAATCTCATCCGAACCACTAATAATTTGAAAGATCATATTTCGTTTGCTTATGTCTAATTCTCTTTCAACTCAAAATATCTAAAATCGATTCCTTGCATGAACCCCCTTCTTCTTGAATTCAACGTCCTAATACTCCAACACAAAAGCTCTGTCTGCTCTACATATTTGATTCTATCACCACACTTTGATATATTTCTTGATGCTGTGCCACTAGAAAATCAATGTTGAACAACTAACATTTTGGCGTTCGCTGGCACCATTCACCATCAACTTATCGTTCAGCCTTTAACCTCTGACCACTCATTGAGACGGACGATCACTCTTTATGTACAATCTCTGATGTATATTATCCCTTCGAGTATTAGTCAAGGAACAAACTAACATAAGATCATAGTTGATTAACTACTGAACATCAACCACAATAGACCGCTTTACCTCCACAGCTCGAACCTTGCAGACTGGATCACCAGAGCTTTATCGAGACAAACAAACTCCTGACATACATACCCATCCTCCAACTCCATCGTGAAAAATGACACTTGTTAACCCTTGCCCCGCAACCCATCCACCTTCCAACGAACCTTCCCCTCACCGTGGTCGTAAACGTCGCCGCTCTTCTGCTGCTTCTCCACCACCCATAACAACCAGTACATCCACGAATTTTCGAGGTCGAGTTCGTCATCGATCACCTCAGACATCTCACTTGACAACATCCTCACCATTGCCATTATCCTCACCCCTCAACCCCAAATCAACAAACGCAAATGCAACCATGACATCCCCTACAGCCACAGCCCATAGAATCAAATACCAAAAGACTCACGCTACAGCAACGACAAAAACTCCCTCCCCATCATCATCTCTCCTTCTTTGCTCTCCGCGCTCAAAGACCCGGAGAGGTCAATCACCCTCCCGCTCTCGTAGCAAGGGTCATTCGGCCGATAAGGAGATTCCAAGGAGAAGACAGAGAACAAGAAGTAGGAGTCGATCTCACAGGGTTGCGATAGACGAAAAGGAGAGCAGTAAGGGAAAAATGAAAGCTTTATCCGGGACAGAAAGAGCTTGAGAAATAGGAGACTCGGAGTTTCATTGATTTAATTCGCGGAAAGATACCCACTTGGAATTGATTGAATAATGGAGGATGATGAATGCGATGTGGCGGTTGATCGACTGAAGACCCAAGAAGAATTCTCACTCGAGATCTCTATGAACGATACGCCCCGGAGTATCTGAAGAAAGTTCGGGTTTGGATTGGATGTATTGTTCGGGTACCAAGAATTTAGGGGTTTATTCCATTATGGGCTAGGGAGCAAGCATCTAGGCACTGGGCAGATAGGAGTTAGGCCTGAATGCATGGATTTTTCTTCTTCTTCGAGTATAACAGTGGCTACTTCGCTCCATGAAAAACAAATACCGACAGCAAAATTCACTTCTTGATTTACATGCTATTTTTTATGGCATTGTACTACATGCAAATGATATACACCAGCAAAGTCCTCTCTTCCACTTGTACTCTGTCTATTCTTACATCCCATCCAATTCCAACAAAAAACCCAACTCATCCATATGTCCGTGCACCCCACTTCCAACACTCCACCCCACCCCATCCCGCCCGTCACAAAACCTCCACCAAAAAATCTAAAATTCTACATACATATATTTACATTCCTCTCTCCATACCATCAAAAAGGACAAACATCCTATCCAACAACGATCGCGCCTTGGTGGCACAATTGGTTAGCGCGTGGGCCTTTTAAGCCCAAGGTTGAGGGTTCGAGCCCCTCCTGAGGCGACATTTGCTTTTGCTTTTTTGGGGGGAGGTGATCTTTTATAGGTATCTATCATCTGTCGAATTTTGAAGACTACTACTACTGATAGGTATGTATGCATAGTTAGCTAATGAAACGAATGAGTGATCGAAATTTTGCAAATTTTTGATGAGTTTGGAAGGGCGAGGAAATGAGTGAGTGGATTCCTCTCCATGGATCGATGGTCTTGAGACTGGCCTGGTGGAGTTGTTGGATGAAGTGAGTGGGGTTTTGACGAAGAGAATGGTGGGAAATCCCTACCATTGTTCTGGTTGTTATATTGACACTAACATTTGCAACCTCAAATTGCCATCAGGCAAATGTGAGATTGTTGGCGTCTTTCGGTGGCATAAGTGTATTACTGGGACTCTAGCCGTCGGTTTCAATACTCAGCATATATCAAGGAGAAGTTCGAAACTATTCAGTAGACTATCCTCGTTTTAGGATTATTTCGAGTCGGAGGACATAGGGTAAATTCACATTTGCACATTTTTATGTTATTATAGTTTCACCAATTCACAGGGTACCATAAATTAAATGTCATGAGTCATGTTTTTGAAATCCTTCAATTCGCCATGCTGCTAAATACATGAAGACTCGAAATGAAAACAGAAGCTCAAGAAATGTGAAAAGGCTCATCTGTCTATCACATGGCGTGCGGCTAGCTTTTTATACCAAATTGGCTATTAAGCCGAAGTGGTCGACGAGCATTCGCTCAGAAAATCATGAAAGCGCCGGAGCTTGAGATAATCTTGATGTGAAATGTGCATGGGAATATGGGAAGGACGGTATCTTTTATTTTGGAAATTCGTTCTTTATAGCTTGTCATAGTACTGTTGAAATGATTAGTCAAATGTTTGCAAAGGGTCATGATATAATGTAAACTTACGTTCTCGTAACCTGGAACCTCAACCTTGATACCCTTACGTTTACGGAGCTCCTGGACGATTTGTCCAGTCTTGGAGGTGGCGTCAATTGGCGATCCACCTGGAAGAATTTGCCAATGATCGAAGATGGATTGTGGGAAAGCTTGACCAGAGGTGTGGGAACGGAGATCAGCGTTGAATCCGAAAGATTCACCGACTGGCAAGTAGGCCTTAATGGTGAAGAGAGGAGTTCCTGGACGTTGCTCCTCAGCGAAGACGTGACCTCTTCTTCTTGTGAGAACACCGTAAACACCACCCATGGCAGATTCTGGTACTTGAATCTCGACCAAGAAGACTGGCTCGAGGAGACCTGGCTCAGCCAAGAGGGTAGAAGCGTACAAGACACGACGGGTAGTTGGCATGACTTGTCCGGAACCACGATGGATAGCATCAGCGTGGAGGGTAACATCCATAATGTTGAATCTGCAAGATCTCATTGGCTCTTCAGCAATTGGACCTTCTCTTGAAGCCCATTGGAAACCAGAGACGACGGAATCCTTGATTTCGTTTAAGTATTGAACAGCCTTGGTTTGATCAACCAACAAGTTGGCACCGTTGGTATCTGGACCGAAACACCAAATCTTACGAGCATCAGTGACATCCCATCCGTGCTCATCGGCCAAGATACGGGCACGAGCCTTGAAATCGTCACGGGGACCGATCTTTCCGGCCTCAATCTCCTTGGAAACCTCCTCGTCGAGAGGCTCAGCGATCATGTAAAGACGGTTGTGCTTGTTGGGGGATTTGGAAAGAGCAGTCATGCTGGACTTGCCAGTGACAGTCTCACGGTATGGAACGACAGGGTCGGAGATACGGAGAGGAACACCAGCGTGGTCCTCCTCGAGATCCTTCAAGCAAATTTCCAAATGCAACTCACCGGCACCAGCAACAACGTGCTCACCGGATTCGGAGATGAAAGTCAAAACACAAGGATCGGACTTGGAGAGACGCTTGAGACCTTCGACAAGCTTGGGGAGATCTTGAGCGTTCTTGACCTCGACTGAACGTTGGACGACAGGGGAGACGGAGAACTTCATGACCTTCAAGTTGTGAGCAGTATCACTGGTGGTGAGGGTACCAGACTTCAACAAGAATTGATCGATACCGACCAATCCGAGAATGTTACCGGCTGGAACATCATCGATAGGGTCGACCTTACCACCCATCATGAGAACAACACGTTGGATGGCCTTGATGAACAAATCATCCTTCTTGCCAGGGGTGTAGTTAGGACCCTGGATACGGACCTTCAAACCGGAACGGACGGTACCAGCGAAGACACGACCGAAAGCGTAGAAACGTCCCTTATCAGATGTTGGTACCATCTTGGAGACGTACAACATAAGAGGAGCCTTAGGGTCACAGTCACGGATACCAATGCAGGCCTCATCATCTGGAGGACCCTCGTACAAGGTCTCAGCACGGTACTTTTGGGCGGTGACTGGGGATGGAAGATGGAGGATCAACATCTCCAAAAGAGCATCGGCAGCTGGCAAGAAAGTACGCATGACAACCTTGAGAAGTTGCTTGCCCTCCTTGTCCTTGTCATCTGGAGAAAGCTTGATGTTAAGCTTCTCGAGGAGAGTTGGGATCTCGTCCTTCTTAAAGTTCATGACAGCAGCGAAGATACGGAAAATTGGGTCGAGAATGAACTGGTTGAAAGCACGCTCCAACTCCTTACCCTCGTGAGAAGACTTGGTAGTCCACTTCTTGGTGTGTGGGTTGAAGTAGTTGTCGCCCCAGAGACGCTCCATCATCTTGTTTCTGTCAACACCGAATTTCTTGGCGTATCTTTGAGCGAATTGTCTGATGGTGAAAGCCCAGCCATGAAGACCGGAACCGAAAGCAACCGTTCCCTTACCTGGGTAAACTTGGACATCACCCAAAGTTTTGTCGAAGTAGGTAGAGATAACGACGTTGACGGACTCGATGGTTCTCGAGAAAGATTGGTAAAGATCTTCCTTGGAGACTTGCAACTCGAGGAGAGCACGATCGACCTTGTTGATGATAACAACAGGCTTAATACGCTCACCAAGAGCTTGACGGAGGACGGTCTCAGTCTGGACACAGACACCTTCAATGGTATCAACGACAACGAGAGCACCATCAGTGACACGGAGAGCAGCAGTAACTTCAGAGGAGAAATCAACGTGACCAGGTGAATCAATCAAGTTGATCAAGAAATCTCTTCCGTCGGTCTTTTGGCCAACAATGTCCTTCAAGTCGTCCTCGTCTGGGAGGTTACCGTAGAGGGAGATGGCAGTGGACTTGATGGTAATACCACGCTCTTGTTCATCGGCACGGGTATCGGTAGCTCTGGCATCACCAGCCTTTGCGGCGGAGATAATACCAGCCTTGGAGAGCAAGGAATCGGTAAGGGTAGATTTTCCGTGGTCGACGTGGGCAATGACGGACATGTTACGAACGTTCGTAGCCTTGTCCATCAATTGACGGACCTCCTCAACTGTGAAGCTATAAAGAGAAAAGTCGTTAGCAAACAGTTCATTGTCGATAGTATAAGCTTATCTCCGAGTCCTCCATCTCGAGCTTATCATTTCAAGACGCTTAATCCATCAAAACGAGATGATTAAAGATACTTGTGATGATTTGCGATTCAACAGGTCGATCTATACATCTGCCACAGATGGTCTGATGTTAAGAGAGAGAGAGAATAGGTACTTACTTAACCATGTTGGCGGTGGTGCTTCGAGAAGCTGATTAAAGAAGATGTATTGATTTGACGTTCGACACACGCTCGAACGAATAGATACTTGAGTGGTTTATTGAACCACTTGAAGTATCGTAAATAGTTTGTAGATACCTGCTACAGACCCAAAAGTATTTGGGATAGAGAGATAATACAAAGAAAGATTTGGTGATACTTTCGATGTAGAATGAGAGGAAGAAGAAGAGGGGAAGAGAAGGAGGTCTTGTATAAAGGTGGGCAAGAATCTGGTAGGAAAAGATCTCGGGTGGGGCAAGTAAAAGTGGCGGGGTTCCAATTGTAATCTGGAAATTTTTCACTTAATTTTTTTGCACCGAGTTAGGTGACTAGGCAACTACAATTCATGCCTTAAAAGGGTTAGTGCCCTAGTTGAGGTTTTGGAATGAGAATGAATAGCATCCACCTGCCAATTGTAAGCAGGATTGCAATTCAAATTATTTATCATTCATCCCATTTATGGAGTGTGATGAAACGGAGTGAATATCGATACAGAGGTGTACGGTACGCGGTACCGGTATGTAGTATTCTTTACTTCCATTATCATTGGTTCATTCTATAATAAGTCCATTAGTAAAGGGTACATTATCATTTTGTGCCGTTCAGGTCACCGTACATGTGCTAGTATGACTGTATATCCTACTGTACCAGGTATGAATTCCATATCATGGATTCATACAGACACTCCATTACATCTCATGATTTCTATCTATAACGGGACTGTATCAAACAATTCATGATTTATCTACACACTATTGGGTGATCAATAAACTAGATAGGTAGCTATTCAACCGTATTATTAGTAACAAGTCACCACAAAGAAGCACCTCAAAGTTCTTACTAGCTAGGTCATTCACCCGGTCAACATTTACCCCTCCTCCTGACTCACCGCCTTACCGGCATGACAAATCCGGTCTGCGTCAGAATTGAGGAATGGACTCAATTGATACAAAAATCAATGATTATACAAATTTAGTAACATGGTATTCAATTGACTAGTTAGTTTTGAAGTTCCTAGCAAATTCAGTCATAATATAAGCCCAAATGAGAGTGAAGAGTATGTATCAAAAACAATAAATTGAATATTATTAAGTTGCTATCAATGGTATAAACTCAGCTATCTACCTTAAGACCAACCTCGAATTCTCCATCAGAAAGTTCACCCCAACTCCATCGCTGTTGTTTGTAAAGATCACGTGTGAAGCTGACACATGAAATAAGTGATTCGCAAAGTTGAACTGTGCTCAAGAAGACCCTAAAATCTTTTCATAGGCATCCTCTACCTCCCCTGCCAATTCTAATAACGCTACAATCACTATTTGATGTGTAAGATTTGGAAGTCGATCTCGATGTAACCCAAAGAATTCCAAAGGTGGTGTTGCTTCACCCAGACTTTGAAGGAGAGGAGTCTCGATGACAGGGGGTTCTAGGGCTATATATTCATATTTCGATAGAGGAACGTTGACCTCGGCCGTAATCTTTTGTTGCTCGCCCTCTTTACTTTGTGGATCTTCTGCGTTTGGTACTCCCGTGATTTTCAAGGCCGAGGGTGGTAGAGGCTTCCCTAGTCTTTGTGCTAATGCTTTTGTGTGTGTACCGTACATGCTGCGAATATAGCTGACACGGGAATAATTCCATCCAACCTCAACCTTCCCTTCAAAAGAGCTTTTGAATATGTAATCGATGTGGTTGGAACCGGGGACCTGCCATGTTTGCATCGTGGCCTCGACCTGGGGGACTTTCAATATCGTACCACCCCGAGATCCCGTGACACTGTTGACCACATCTTCCACAGAAAGGTCGCTAACGGACTTTGGCGCCTCGTCTTGCTTCACTCCAGCAAGTCCAATGCGAAGTTGACCGAGAGTGAGACCTAAAATACTATGAATCTTTCCCCGATCCATGGTTACCGCAAATCGTGCCTGTGCATTGAGTGCCTCGATTTTGAAGACTTGGTGGTCGGAGAATGTGCTTGGAAACGCCCCTATGTTCAATGCTTTCAGTGTGACGATCACATCAGTGTGCAGTGATACGGGTGATTTCGATTTTTCTGGTTTCGGCTCTGTAACAGGTGTCTTGGGATTGGGTGATATTGTCTGAGAGATCGATTTACGTTTAATATATTTTTCAATTTCCGAAAGGGACGTTTCATAATTACTCTTCTTCTCTTGAGCAAGACGCAAGAATGCTTGGTATAAAGCGAGTGCTTGCGATGCAGTCGTTGCCGTACAAAAGATCTGTACAGCTTCCCCATCTAAGATGGCAACGAGTCGGTCTCCCTTCGCCTGCGTCCCGTTGCGAACATTATACATAAGGAATTCGAAAGATGTGATGTCCGCAACTAAGAAGGCTTGGTAATCAAATGCAGCCTTGACTCTTAGTTGGCTGAAACCCAAAGAGCCTTGAACTAATGGCGTTTGATTCAATGCCTTCTCGCGTGCTGGCCATTGGATGGAGGTGCGTATTTTGAAATCCTGAAGCGCCACGAATCCGCTCATCCTGCCTGAACTGTCAACACCAATTTTGTCAAAGCCAAGACACAGATTTTGCTCCCAATCCGAATTCTTTTTGGATGAGATCCAGAAATTTGATATAATAAAAGCAGATTTGCCGATAGCTTGGCCGAGATCCAATTGAACGTCCAACTCAGCAATAGAGACTGTAGCATTCCAGGGGAAAGCACCAGTTGCTGCAACTTGCTGGTATCTCTGCACGAGAAAAGTTGATGATTGTATATTATCAGTTGACGATACAGGAGCTGTAGAGCCTTCACGCAGTTCTTGTGGAACCCAAATCTCCCTAAAGAGCAGGAAATCTTGTAATTGCTTGGCATTGATTAAGACTTTCATGGGACTAATCTTTAATATTGCAGACATTCCGCTGGTGCCACTCACATGCTTACTATTCATGAGAGATAGGAAAATTGATTCAACATCAAAGCTTCCCGTAGATTCCCTGGAATAAACATGTTGTACTGAAGCTTGCAGCCTTGAGAAAGCAACGGACGCAGCAAAGAAATGCCCATGCTCGGTCGATCGGACCGTGTTGATAGTCAAATAGATTTCGTCAAATCGCGCGCTAGCAGCAACACGAGCTATAGGTTGACAGCTAAGAGTGAACTCTTGCTTACAAATTCTAAGCCCTAGATTGAGGCGAGTGCGACCAAGGACAGCACTGGGATCGGCTGCCAAAATGTTATCGTCATCGGAGCCCATAAATTTTTGTGGCGATGATTTTGGCACCGACTTTTTATCCTTGCCATCCTCGCTTACAATGTCTTTGACCGAGGAAGATATCTCCAAAATGAGAGGCACAACTGATGGATAGAGTATGTTTGTCGAAGCGTCCACCTTCACCTCAGCATTCAGAGACGGGTCATCAAGGCCATTATCTGTGTACTCTATTTTCCAAGCCAGGCCAGGTGCGCGTAAGACCGTGCTACTACCGGCGTCTTTGTGCGTGAATTGCCCATATCTTCCAGCATGAGGCACGCGACCCGTTGTGCCTGCTTGATTTGTCTGCGTGGTCTCTGCCAATTTCCTACCCGACAGATACACAACAGCTCCAGCAAAGTCCGCATCCACTAGTAAAGACTCCATACGTTTCTTCCCGAAGAAGGGTTGCCTTTTGTTGGAAGGCGTTGGTGGTATTAGTGTCGGTGGTGGGCTTGCACTCCATGTAGCTGACGCTACCCGTACCATTTCGGTAGCAGATCCAATTGATCGTTGAAGCTCAGCGGCAGGTATAATGAATTGAGAAGTCAGTCGCAAATCAAGGGATTTCCCTGCCGCTTGAAATGCTAACCTACGGGTATTTTGACCAGAGATATATCCAACATTGAAGATGACTTCTGGCAATAAAGCCGAGTTAAGTGAACGTTGGATTTTGTCATGTGACGAGGGTACCATTTGCAGTTGTAAGTCTTCAATGGTAAGTCGAGCAGAATTCTCCTTCCTTGTTGATAAATCAATACGTTTCAATGATAGAACAAGATTTTCCTTTTCAGAGTGCGAGATGCGATCGTTTTCTGTAGTGCCAACCAGCCAACTAACTTGGATGTTGAGCAATTCGAGAGTGTACATCGAAGCAAACATAATGGTAGACGTTGAGCCGGTAATGCTATCATGATCTTTGGACTCATCGTTTACTGTAATCCTTGGTCTGGATTTACGAAGTTTCTTAAAATACTGCTTCTCTCTAGTGAAGTCGATGTCTTTTATTTTATTTTGCAAGTGAGCCATGACATCTACCACAGAAGATGCAGTTTCCGCGAAAAGGTTGATTTCGAGGCCATTGCTAGTAAGATTGAATGATCTAACATCGTCCCCTATTTCGTTCTTTTTGCTCGTGGCAGTCAAGAATGCAGCGAATGCAAGATTTCCGCAAGGTTCCATAGTCCCATTATTGAGGCGAGACAATTCAAACATAATGCGATGCAGACTTACATGAATCTCTGGAAATTCATATGTTGGCCCATGTGCCTCCAGCCTGTTTGCAACTAGAAGCTGCACGCATCCAACATTGAACTCAAGTCTTGCCGTAGTTTTCCCCTCTCGCGACGGTTCCGCGTTTGCATAAACATCCAAACCTGCAAAAGTTAGGTGAGCATCGTATATAAGAGCAGGACCGGCTTTCGGTGGTAAATCCGGCACTGGACTGCTGCTGGGACCGAATATTTCTTCAATATGCGCTTGTATTGCTTTGATATCGTCACGGATATCGGAAACAACACTAGATATTTCTGGTCGATTGAGTGCAGTCAAGAGACTATGGAGAGCAGCTGCATCAAGCTCTATGGGTTCCACAGAAGCAAAGACTGAAATCTTATTCTCTTCCACGGACATACTGCTAACGATACGACCGTTTGTTGGTGGCATTTGTAACAACGAAATACTTTGCTTTTTATCAATTTGAGCTGTTTGCACATCATGCGAGTGTTCTTTAATGTCAAAATCGAAGACAATTTCGGACCCAAATTGAGCTGCCAAGGAAGCCCTAGCAACAACACCTGAAATGGTATATGTTAACGATTGTATGAGAGGTATGCTGATTTGATACATATTTAGGAACAGTGCCAAATTGATCTTGTTGATGGCCTTTGATTCTTGAACACTTGATGGCAAGACATTCGGCGGCGATGCAGGCCGTTTGGCTGTTGGAAGCTTCGGAATAAAACGATTCAGCTGCGCGACTTCATCCCCAATCACTAAGTCCAAGACTTCAATAAGTGCGACAATATCTTGCTGGACTATGAATGACAACTCTTGCGAATTTGCTGCAACTTTAAAAACGTTAAGGGAAGTTTCGTCGAGCATTGAGCTTTCGAATGATACATAGACACTTGGATTTCGCAGCTGGTACAGACTTAAAGGTTGCGAATGACTCTGAATTTTCGAGGTGGCAGCTTCTGCGGCGAGCATAACGTTTATCATCGTCGTGTTAGCAATGTCCTCTGTCGAAACAACAGATACTTTCAAGCCGTTACTAATGGAAACAGCTCTGAGATTTATTGTGTCAAGTGTGATAGAACCTTTTTCGGTTGCAATCACGACCTGAAGATTTTGTTTAGCTTTTACTTTTGGGCGAGCTAGCGTGATTGGTGAAGGCCTTTCTGGTACTTTTGCGTTCGATTCGCTTTGTTGATACAATTTCAAGATATCTTGCACAAGCTCACATAGTTCCCAATTTAGATTGATCGAAACATTCTCGCAAAACACATGCACGATAGTATTTTGAATTTTATCTGTATCTGAGCCATGCTGTGATATAGATATTGGCGACATGATGGAAGAACGCGTAGTTGTCACCGAAACACTGGCCGACAAAGAAGATAGTGCAACCTCGTTTTGCTTCGGGCCTGGATCTATCACAAGCCTTACAAGTTCTGTTCGAAGTGATATGCTTAAGTTTGGTGCTTCTGCTACCGTTTCTGTGGCATCATCGTTGGAAAAACCGAAAACATTACTCATCAAGACACAAGCGCCAAGATTGTTGAGATCCCAGCTCCTCCACTGAGAAAAGCTAGCGAGGACTCGTTGAGCAGCGTCTTCGGGAACGCTTTCTGCATTATTTGTGCAACGGTTAATGATATCGCGTTGCGCAGATGTGCCAAGTATTGAATACATATGTCGAAGTCGAGCAATTACTTTCCACGAATCATGGGTTCTCAAATGCCTTTGTGCGCTTCGAAGAACGTATGCCGGTCTTGTCAAGAATAAAGGATCTGTGGCATGCTCCCCTGCAGTCGCGACGAGATATGTGAAGAGCTGGAGACGATTTCGTTGTTGGCTTAATCTAGATGCAAACGTCTCACTAACTCGATCAGCGAGAACATTGGTACGATGGACCAATGATGCAAGATATTCAATCTTACTGCTAGCCGTGTTGACTTCTATAATTTTGAAAATTATGTTTGCCGCCGTGTTATGTCCAGAAGAAATCCAGAACACAACATCTTCAAGAATCACGTTCACAGCTGCTTGAGGATCATTTAGATCACCAAATCGTTCCTTCGCAGCCAGGACAGCAGAGCCGAGGTATAAATGGATTGCAGAGGACTGCCGACCAGCTTGGGCAGCGGTGAGGTCCGAAGTTCCAGCTGTTTCACTTCTTGAGGTGATGGCAAGCTTTGCGATAGAGAGATCATACTGATCATGCGTTTCATCTTTATCACTGGTCAAGTCATGCGCATCGGGCGAATTCAAGAATCGAAGACATATGCCTGGAGTCCGCACAGCTATATCAAGAACCTCCCCGTGTATCTTGTCTTTTTTGTCCATGCCGAATATCTCTCCCATGGAGCTAATCTGAAGATCATCTATCATATCTACAGGATCTACAGGTTGTATTGCAGCAAGTAAATCCGCAACAGCTCCCACTGCTTTCGGGCTAAGCACTGCCTTGATACCCCCGGGCATTTCCACGATAAAGCTGACATGGGTCGCGTTCTCGCCCACTCGATCAGGCTGAATGTCTTCTAAATTCATTCGAGGTGATTGCATGGCGTTTTCGGTCTGAGCTTCTGAATCTAGGACTGGGAGATCCTTAATATCAGGTTCGACAGCCTCAAGTGGAAAATATGGTGCTATGTACGAGCTTGAGAAGGTAACATTGGAAGGAGGTAGGCCATTAGCCTCGCCAACAGCACTATAGAATGAAGATTGACGACCGGTCGAGACTGAAAGGTCTCTGAGATGCGATTGGCCAGCCTGTATACTTCGGGAACGTGAAGCAGAAATGGATGTTCCCTCACGATTGAACGAGTGAGGCCGAATGATACTCTGATCGCTTCTAAAGCTTGAGCTAGAAGCGGTCAAGAATGAGCTTTTGCGCCCAGTCTGAGGTCGGTTTCTGCGAACCGACGATATATTGGAGGACATCTTGTAAGTAGATGGCCTATCTTGAATAAGGCCGTCACTGTGAAAGAGTGGAAGGGGCATTGGCGGAACACACATTGCAGGCGGTTCAACATTCTCTTGATCTACGTTTGTCATAACATAATTATGTAAGAGGAAATCGGTTCGATGCGTTCTTCGATCATGAAGTCTTAGGTGTGCTTGCTGCAGGCGGCGATCTTCTACGAATGCAAGCTTCTTCAGGATCATCCCAAATGATATCGTTGTTTGAATAAGGCCATGCGTCTCCACGGGATGTTGTGCTCTTGATCTGTGCCTTGAAGCTGATTCCGCATCAACACAGCCAAATTTCAGATTTGGTATTTGAAGATCTAGTTTCTTGGAGTAATGGGATCCAGCCCAATCATCGAAATTCAATATAATTTTAGAAGTGGAAAATAGAAAGGCTGCTTCTTCGACATGTATCCAAATGCGTATGGAATCAACCGAGGCACGGAGAAAAGTGACATCGTGCAATGTTAATTCAGCAGTCGGCGGGAGGGCATTTTCGTCGTCATCGAAGGAAAATGCAACTGCCTTGACACTGCCAAGCAATCGCACAAAGAACTCGGTTGTACACTCGCCAGTAATTGCGCCCACACTAAAGTCCCAATTACAGACGTAAGTTGGCTCAATAGGAGGCAGACCAAAAAGGCGGTTGCCCGATATATTAAGACCGTCGATGAAAAGTTGAGTGCCAGACGTTGCGCTAGCAAAAGACATTCTGCTATCACTTTCGGTACCCAAAGAGAAAGCTAGTGTGCCAAGCTCTACATCTAAGTCCATGTAGTAGTTGGTGAAGCGAAGATCAGCAGCCAGTGTCGCAATCTCCATTCGAATATGGTCCTTTGCTGAATACAAATTTGCGGGCAAAATTACACTGGATTCGTCAGCAGATATGCTCAGGATCACGTCGAGATCGTTGCTCTTCTTGTGAGGTTGAACGTTCGCGTCCTCTTGGCTGTTGGCGGTTTTGACACGGATGGCTTCCTGGTATTCCTCCAAGGTCCTGAAATGAATATCATCGCCAAAGTAATTGTCTTTCACCTTGAGGTAATATCGAATAACGAATCCATAGAATTGCGCTGTAGCCCCATTGCCATGCACATCAAGTATTAGTGTATCGGTATTACTGGAAGAAGTAGTTGCACAATATTGATATTTTCCTCCAAGTTTTAGAGTATCGAGTTCAGCAATCTCCGTGGATTTCAGAAAGGTGGCCTGAGTATTCCACGGAGGCACATGCAGGTTCAAACCACCATGCTTAGCGAAAACATCAAACGATATATCGTTTCGGTGAGGCCGAAATGTATCGATGGGAATGCAAATGTCTGCAATCAACGACTCTCCAAAAATAACGATGAAGGTATTATCGTCAAAATCGGCAGGGTTATTGATTATGTTGGAGTCATTGACGTTGAGGTAGAGTTTGAATGCCTGAAGATTGAGCTTCACCAAATACCGAAACGGCGTAAATGTGAGATATTCTGGCGGCGGGCCACTGGCCCAATCCCCAACAAGATCTGTAAGGAGAAAGATGTGTTCCCTCAGAATAAAAAGTTCTAGTCCGCGACTGCCAATATCGAAATTCCATGTTCGGAAACCGTTCCATTGTAAGGGATTCGATAGATCACAACTAATCACATTTCCGGTGGATCTCCAAAGTAGCCCGTGGTTAACACTTGTAGTTATCTCCGTGTTGGGCAGATCCAATTGAAGCTTGTTTGAAAATCCAGATTCTCCTGCCACCATATCCATCAGGTATCGAATGGTTGCATTCGCCCCAACCTTAATGTCAAGCCAACCAAAGGGTCTAACCTCGGGCCCAGGGGCCCCCTTCTCATCTTTTCTCCTGCGACCTCTGTTACTAGTTCGTTTTCGCTCGCTCGGCCGGGCACCAGCTGATTCTGCTTGCTTTGTCCATTTCCAATTCTTCGATTCCTCTCTAATGGGCACTCGAAGTGTCGTCTCGTGGTCAAGTTCAATGTAGAGTTTGAATTGTGTTGGCACTCTGTATTGACCGGGTCTAATCATTTTGGCGGGGGAGGCGTCTTTACACAGACTTGGAAAGAAGACTCGCTGAATCTCGGCCCGCTGCCTATCTGCCCAAGGACCATAGTTGATAACAGCACCTTCCAGAAGAAGATCGATTCCCCATTCAGGAGGAACATCACCATTGATGTTATTACATGCTGATTTTGACACTTCACGTCGCCATGGAACCTTGGCCGGGACATCCCAGTAGAATCTCATTGTAGCGCTGGGGCTATCAACAATTGTAGTAACTGTTGCATATTCGTTAGAAGACCACCGCGCCTTGTCATCCTGCTCGCTTTCATCCAGATACCTCGAAAGACCTTGCCAGCTACTAGGATTGGGGTCTCCTGGAATGGGTGAGTTTGAGCGGCTATCATGACTGGATGAGAAAGACTCTACAGAGCTTCGAAAATAAGGTACAAGGTCTTGAATAGTATGCCACGCTCTCTTGCGCTGTCGATGGAAAAAGCTGTGGGAGTGAACGTGGCTTGAAATAGCGTTCGACTGCTCAGGAACTCCGCGTTTAATTTTACAGGCCGCTGTAGTTTGGTCTTCTTTGTAATCATCATTCGGTTGCATTTGTATAACGGGATGTTCGAAACGAAAATTTATTAGCTGTTTATACTGATCCAATTTAGTCGCTGCTGAGGCGTCCAAGTCTCCCTCTGCTTTGTCCATTTTAACAATGAGCACGCTCTTGGTGTTTTCATTCCCTAGTACCACTGCAGCTTTGGAACATTCAATATGAACGGGAAGAAACCTGAGTAAGAAAGTTGATTCCACTGCTGCATGCGACTCGTCACTTTCCATATCGGCTCTCTGAGAGTTCGCCGAAGATCTATCAGATTTATCCTCTACGTGAGGTGCTCCAGGCTTAGCCTGTTCTTCGATATGTGAGGGTGAAGTTTGAGAATCGGCAGTAGATTCCTTGGACAAGTCTTGTGCATTCCCACGACCATTTACAGCACCTTTCTTTCTTAGTCTCACATGCTGATGGGAATCATCTCCATGGCTCTGCGCAGCATGATCTGTATCCTCAGCATCTCCAGCAATTCCCGATATAATAGCATCGTATGCCGCACTTCGGTTGTAAACAAACCATTCTGCCCCGTTCAAAACGATATCGAATCGGCACGGCAGTTTCTTCTTTTCTTTCGGCCCCGCCTCCTGATCAAGTCTCGTATTAACAGTCGGCTCACGCTCCTTCTGCTTTTTTGTAGATTCGTTGGTTTCTAAGTCCAATTCTCTCACATTGCGGAGCCAATATTTCCATGTAATGTATCCATTTTGTATCAATATAGTTTCATTGTCGCCGTGATATCTAACACCTTTGAAAAACACGCGCCCTCCTAGGAGAGATATTTGTAAAGCTTGGATGTCGACATACACTTGATATTGATGCCATGTCCACTTCCGAAGACCAAATGATACGACGGCAGCAAAAACACGGTTGAAATAGAAAAGGAAGAATAGTGTACTACACCGAGGGTTAGCTATGCGAAACCAACCACAGTATGAAGACTCACACGATCCCGCAAACAATCAACTCAATAAGGAAAATCCTAATCTATTAGTTAGCCTTCTTTTGCGCCGGGAATGCAGAAAGCTACCAATTGAAGCCCAGATCCGCTCGCAGAGGGGATGCTGTCAAGCCACTACTGCTCGCCATCTTTTAACGTTCTTGTTTGAAATGTATATGAAGTAAGGTTCTACGTGATTCCGACTGAAATGCTCATGATCGCAAAGATTCCGGCCTCCATGCTACATGTTGCATTGTCTCTCCAATATTATCAAACTTTCGTTTTTCGTCTTCAAGAAAATCGTAATTACAAAGAAGTATCAAGCGGAGTGGTCAGAATAGCATCAATCCTTTTTGGTTGGATAGTTGAAATACAAAAGGTTGAACATATGGTAGATCGCGAAGTAGAATTGTGATGCTTCACAGGGGCCACTCGGCCCCATTAGCCCGCTTTGAAAGCTGGAAGCCACCGCCTTGGCAGAATTACGCACGCTTTCGCCTCTATGCTCTGCGACAAAAACATGGCATAGCTAGGTATCAAGACCACCAACTGCCCGCCTATCTCGCTGTGTGAACATTCTCGAGAGACTATAACATTCACTAGACTTTATCATTCATTTTTAACAGTATGAAGGAGAGTTTCGCAGACCATGTTAGTCGCACAATTTAAGACTTCTAAGCTCCAATCTACTCCTATAGCTTATCGTGACCAGGAGAGCGCGCCAACTTCATTGATTATTCACTCCTTCCAACATGATGGCAGGAAGTAGTGACCTATCCGGTGGTACTGGTGAGAAGTTGACAAATGCAACAATAGTGGTAGCTGGTTCTGCTGCATTGCTTGCCTCTTTACTATCAATCGTGTACGTTTGAGAGCGACTAGGTTCATTCATTTTAGAAGCTAATATCTTGTTCGACAGGTCGGTTTGGTTGCAAACGTATGTTATAAAGGCTACATAATACAACATTAGATCGCTTTCCTAAATATGTTCTAGTAAAAACTATCGAAAACCTCTTTTACAACGCTATGTCATTCGAATCCTACTTATGTACGTGGATGAAGTCTTTAACAATGCTTACAGTTCCTATATTGACCAATACACTTAGGGTACCGATATACTCAATCTCGTCATGGACTAGTCTAGTTTCTAGAGAGGCAGCGATGTTTATCGATCCTATTCGTGATGTGTATGAGGTATGTTGAACATCTTTGAATACCATGGCTCGAAGCTGATTATTGGCAGGCTTTCACAATTTACACTTTCTTTCAACTCCTTATAAACTTCCTCGGGGGTGAACGAGCATTGATTATTATGATGCATGGACGAGAACCGGTTCACCACCTTTGGCCATTGAACCACGTCTTTCCTAAGGTCGATATATCCGACCCTCATACATTTTTGGCCATCAAGCGCGGAATTCTACAGTATGCTTGGCTGAAGCCCCTTCTTGGACTTTCAGCTATAATCATGAAAGCTACTGGAGTATATTCTGAGGGTACCATTTCCTTAACCTCTGGTTATATGTGGAGTGGTATTATTTATAATATTAGTGTCACACTAAGTCTATATTCACTCGGAATGTTTTGGGTTATCATGTCTAAAGATTTACAACCTTTTCGACCTGTACCGAAATTTTTGTGCATCAAGCTCATTATATTTGCCTCATACTGGCAAGGATTTCTTCTTTCGATCCTGGTCTTTCTCGGCGCAATTCCAGACAATGTGGAGGATTATACAGCCGATAGTCTCGCTGCGGCAATACAAGATGCCTTGATCTGTATCGAGATGCCTATTTTTGCCATTGGACATTGGTATGCCTTTTCATGGCACGACTATGCAGATGTCACTATATCTGCAGCTAGAATGCCGGTCCGCTACGCTATTCGGGATGCCTTTGGCATTCGTGATCTCATTGAGGACACGAAAGAGACATTCAGTGGAAAGAAATATGAATATCGGTTATTTGATTCAGGGGACAACGTCTTGGCCCATGAAGGATCTTCGTCAAGAGTAGCTCGGATGATGGAAGGTATGCGATACGAGCGTGGTGGGAAAGGAAAGTATTGGATTCCCAAACCAGGCGAAGCAACCGCAAGAACACCGTTGCTTGGAAACAATGCCGGATCTCCTGGAAGCCAATCTCCCGTACAACCCCGTGATGGCGATTCTGATTACATGGGGTGGGGAGACGGTGGGGTAGAACAGCAAGGTCTTGATCCTGAAGAAGAAGGTCTTTATGAGAGAGCTAGACAACTGGAATTCGGGGATTGGAACGTAGGTAAATTTGGCTTACTGCATGCTCAAAGCTAATCAATCATTCATAGTATCATGTGATTACTGCTCATGAACCGTCAAGGGAAAGATGGCTCACTGGGCAGCCTGATCTTTTGACAACCTCGGCAAATCGTCATCTCCTTCAGCCTACTGATGACAATCGTATCCGAAGAGCCAGTAACATTAGAGAAACGGTCGAGGATGTCACTAAACGAACTAAGAGAAAGTCTTCAAGGAACAGTCGAAGCAGAGATTCCAAAGGCAAGAATAAAGAAAATTCGCCGCTGAGTGAAGAAGGAAGAGCGCCAATGCTCAAAGGCATGTTGCGACAGCATTCGTCTGCCTCTAGTTCAGCCAAATCCGACAGAAGCCAATTAGTCGATGTCATAGTCGAGGATACTGCGGCAGAAGAAACCGAAAGAGTTCGGGCTCGCAAAGAAGGAAGCTCGGGATGGAATGAAACTGAGCCCCGACGTTTTGTGTAAGTCCACTCTCTCATTAGGCAAAGTTAAAGGCTAATTTTTAAAGGCGAACATATGGAGATGGTACAGGTGAGGACATCCGGGAAGGATTCGAGCCCAATGATGATGCAGAGGCTGTGGATTCCAAGCCAGGTGTTGATGAAGAGTTCGCAGTTGATGGGGATAAGAATCATGGTAGTGATCAGGACAACTCGGAGGAATCACGCCATTGGAATGAAGCTCGACAAGAGAATGTGTTATTAAAGCCTAAATACGGAGTTGACGGAGAGGCGTTTGAGAATGTTTGGGGTAGTGGAGAACCATCGACTCCTCCACGGGAAAACCCCTGATGTATAATAAATACCCTTTGGTCTTTCGGGAGCGTCGTGGATACATGGTTAAGGCGTTTGTTCAAAGCATCATGTAAACATACACGGTTTTTCGTTTCTTTTCTGATTTTTCTTCTTTCCTTTCTTTCCACGGTTACAAATATTCATACCTTAAATTAAATATAGGATTTTTCTTCTCAAATTATCTGTGAAATTTAGGAATGCGATGTATCGCATTTGGGGTTCCTAGTACCAGGGCTGTGTTATCTGGCTTTTTGCCATTTGCTGGTTCACGAATGCGACAAATCATATTGACATTGGACCAAGAATATACTACGAGGAATGACAAAATATACTGCCTTGCCCGAATGAAAGGAGAATTTACAGCTACTGTCTTTTCTAGCAGATCCAGACCCAAACCACATTGCTTGACCCTGTACTACCTACGCATAGGTAAACATCGTACGCATATTTATCAGGGGCTAGAACAACCTTTCAATCTCCAATCCAGGTATTGGGGGTATCTCAAATCTCAGGTAACACTTCCCATGCACAACATCAAAGCTCCATCGACCACTTGCTTATCTCAGTACTATGTCGATGAACGAACCATGTGTTGGCTTGGCTGGGGAATTACGGTTAACCACGACTTGGGTTAAAGCTTGTGTAACACTAATTCATTGACCCACTTATCCCAAAAACACAAAGTCAGTCTAACGGTGTAATGAGAACACCTACTGGGCTCCTAAGTAATACTGTAGTAATGATAACAACTTTTGGTAAATTCGGTGACGATTGATTATTCGACACCTATCGAGACAACAAATGTTATGATGGTGAGTTCGTTTAGGCTAAATGAAAGGGGAATTTCTAAAGGGTTATCTCGGATATTGTATTATTGTGTATTAATGCATCACAGCATCACATTATGATATACCTAATTAGCGGGCCGAAAAGGCGTCTTTGTCTAATCGATATTCTATAGCCGTCGGCTTTACCTTCTCTGTGTAACTAACGGGCTGTGTTGTGTGACAACGGGACGGCAAAGGTTCTGAGGTTATGATGGTATCTATTATCCACACTTAGAAAGGAAGGGCCACTCAGAACGCAGAATACTTGGCTAGACGATGACATCCGGGTCTGTAAAAAGAAGGGGCCGATATATTAAAGCGGGGATGACATCTCCCAGCTACATATGACCTAGTGTATGACCCAAAAAGAAATCAGTAGTAGGGCTAAGCTTGCGAAAGAGTGTCCTGTCATAGAACATACCCAGTACTTAGTACTTTTTAAAAATGGCATTGGATTTTCATATGTAGCTACTGGGATTCATGCGCTGTTTCCTGTCTTGAAAGGAGTTTCATATAGTATAGCATGCAATGTTCTCTTGTTTATACGCTCTTACCCGGCTACTCTGATGACCAAGGGTACCATACTGCTTCCCGTTTGAAGGATCCCAATGTATTGGTAGCGAGTAATTCTTGGGAATGTATATATAAACCTCAAGACTCACAACTGATCACAAAAATCCCTCTAGAAAAGTGGCTCTGCGATGTCTATTTATGTTGCAGCGGTATCCCTTCGATTATTCTAGGCTATACACGCTTTGGGCTTTATCACCCTTTTGCGAACCGACCATAAGTCTAAAAGCACTTGCCATCTAGCGATCTCTAACACAATTTATCCAATCATATTGAATATAAGGGTCGGGTGGACAGGGGACTACTTACGTTGAGCTTCTCGATCACATCTTCATTACATATATTCTATAATCTGGCCCACGGTGACTTTACATTAGATAATTTTTGAATTTCGTTATGGAGGCAGCTTATGAAAAGGATGGCGGCCGATGAAAATGTACTAGGTAGGTAGGTAGTTAAACTGCTTACTTCTCAATGTGGAAAGAACAAGCAACTCGCGACACGATAAGGAAACACTAATAAAGCTTTTACAAAACCAAAGAACCTCACGTCACAAAAACCGAACAATTCTCTGTTCCTATTCACCATGAAGCCTGCCACTTGAGCGGCCGATGTATGTTCTCATTAGGTACGACCAATCTTCATTGTGCTTAAATATGCCATCTCTGAACATCATTGATTCCCTTTCAATCCAATTTTTAAGCATCTTGGATGCAATCAAGTCTTCTTACTCTTCCCCTGCTAACATTCTAGTTTGGACTACCTAGTTCCTGGGCCTTTCAGACTATACGAGTGCTCCAATGTACTTGTAAGTTACACATTAAACCCTGCGAACTATCGACGTGAGCGAGGTTTTCTTCCGATGCAAACATACAGAGGGAAGTATGCCTGCGAACGGGGGTTAGCAACCTTCATCTTTCAAATCATTTGCATGCGATAATCACCTTCAGCAATGGGTCATCGGCCTCCACTCGAGCCTGCGCTACAAGAAGTTGAACGTCTTGGATCGGCATCCTACCATTGATTAGATCTAATTTTGAGACATTGGCAGAGACAATCACTCTAGTCTTTCCGCGAATGGATAAATTGCAATGGATCCTAAGAACTGCTGCACGTTTTCTCTGTTGGCAGTACCAATATCATAATCTCTGGGATCTATCGCACTTGCTATTAGTGTGCTTCTCTACTTGCTCATTGCTTACTGACCGCTGGACCACTGTAAAGTTCTGAGGGTTAGCGGTTTGCCATTACCACGTATCGCCTTTGAGATTCAATGAAACATTTGATTTCGAGTAGAATATTGAGACCGTGTTACTTGGGAAAGTGTCCCATGGTTTTTGGTCATTAGAATGGATATGAAGCTGGAAACTTACACCACAAGTGTGGAGAGGAATCATTCTATGTTCAACGTCGACAAATCCTGCAGCTCTCATCATTTCTGGAAGCCGGGGTGCCACGCGAAGATCTTTCAAGTCATTCAAGCTCTCATTGTACCTTGTACTCCACTGTCTAAGAGCATGGGCTATTGTTTTGTCCGATCAGATAAAATATATTTTCACAGTACCTGCCTGGAAAACTTACCCTCTGTTAGGCTTCCATTGTCTGATTGAGCGTTATGATGCAGCTCCACCAACTGACACCATCCTCCGGGTCGGAGTACACGAAGCATATCACGAAGGTATCCAGCCCATCTGTTCACATGTATAGCGCCCGACATTAATCGACTGTGGACAAGGTCGAAGTTGTGGGCCTGAAAAGTGAATCTATCAGATATTATCAGACTTGTTCCACCTTCTGTCTTTTCTGTACGAACCGGTTGTTGAGATCGTCCACTTGTAAATACAAGTTTTCAGGTACGGTTTCTGGCTGGAAGGGGTAAATATCAATCGCTATAACCTGCATGAATATTAGCACTTGACCACCTAAGCAGCTCCAATATTTTCTCATGATGCTCAGCCATTTGTCCGGTACTGGCCGAGCTCTGCATTATACACACTCGAAGAATTATGCCATTTTGTATTTCATGAAAAGCAATGGAAAGGAAGAGAACCTCGCATCCTGGGTTTTGTGTAGCAACATCGATAGCCCAGCTGGCTGTTCCATAGCCACAGTCCAGAATCCTTCTAGGTCTGTTCAGGGTCGGAAATAGAAGACGATTGTCGAAAACTCTGTTTAGGACTGCGTGCCAAACACGCAATCGTCCTAGCTCGTCCTGCGCGGATGTTTTAGTTGAAGTTTTCTAGACTATTGTGTGTCTGCTGGTCTTATTACCTCATCGATAGGCTGGAAGTAAGATAAGTTTGCTGTGGCATACTGCTGGAAGTGTCGATTGTGGTATGTGACAGTCTCGAAATAAGTGTTATCCACTTCGACTGTCTGAGATTCGGGATGGCTAGGTAGAAAGTTGTCATCTTAGCTAGTGATTCATTTTCTAGGGCCCTTGACTGTAGAGCACAGAGAACCTACCTCGCCATGTTAGTTCTTTTCAATTTCTTTTAACCAAAATTCGTGCTACTGTTTCTTTCAAAAATCTAGTTCGAGGTAGCCGGTGCGGGGCCAAAGACTGTATAACATGTATTGTCGAGGTTCGATTTTCAGTTTAGTTTTTCATGCAAATTGGCGATCCATACAATTCTCTCTCCGTCTACTAGATGTCCCTCAATACCTCTATTGTACAACCATCCATGTATTCTTATTTGCTATTCGTTGAACTTTTCAGAGCGTCTGTGGTGCGGGCATAAGCGGTTGCTTCCATGTCTGTACAGTCAATGTGGCATCTATCTGTTCCTTCACAAATGTGGTAAATCTGTAGTGTACGTCACATAAAAAGAGAGAAAACAGCAACTAGTTCAATAGGCAATAGGTATAGAAAGCTGTTCCACGCGCAAACCTCTATCAGAGCGATTAAAGAGTCAAATAGAAAAAGTCGCGAGCCAATCAAATTCTGTTGCTTCAATTGATGAGACTTCAACAAGAAGGTCGTCAGTTGGTCTATTCACTCTGCAAGGTTCCTCTGCAAGGTCTGGGCACTAGTAAAACTCTTTCTTTCCCACATCAATAGGAATCAAAAGATAAAAAGCTAGCGGGTGCGTTGCGGTACCTCCGAGTTAGCTAACCAAATTGAAGCGGGGCAAAGAGGTCTTTAAATTTGCATCGACTAGCACGCTATCTTTGTAGGCACCTCAGCGTGCTTTAAGTTTCACTACTGGTTGGTGGTCATGGTGTAGAATGACGGTTGGCTATCCATACATGGTACTGAACAGTTCCACCGCAACTAGAGAGAAAGCCACGCTAGACTATACTACAATTGGCGTTCCATACCTCCTCTGGCATCTTTTCATCATGAGCAAAAGTTATGTTTCTATATAAAATCCAAGGTCACAAATCTCATGAACAAGATGAGTGTTTATTGCGGCTTCTGTATTCGGACTATGTGAATACCTGGCGAGCATATGACAAGAGACAAGGATGAGATATTGGGTGGTCATAGGCTGTAGCTGATTCTTACTTGTAGCAACGGGTCCTATTTATTTCGTCCAAGGTTATGAACTATAGTCAATCCAGTACATGTACAATGATTTTTGCTGGATGCATGTCAAG